GTTCCTCAAAAAACTACAAATCCAGTTGCCAGATGATCCAGCAATCCCATTCCTGGGCATATATTTAGACAAAACTATAAATTCAAAAGCATATGTACCCCAATGTTCACTGTAGCACTATTGATAATAGCCAAGACATGGAAGTGACCTGAATGCCTATTGACAGATGCACAGAGAAAGACGTGGTACATACATACAGTGGAATATTAGCCATAAAAAAGAATGAAATAATGCCATTTGTAGCAGCATGGATGGACTAGAGATTATCATACTAAGTGAGGTAAGTCAGAAAAAGAAAGACAAATACCATACGACATCATTTATGTGTGGGATCTAAAATTGGAGACAAATGAAGATATCTGTGAAACAGAAACAGACTCATAGGCATAGAGAATAGACTCATGATTGTCAAGGGGGAAGGCATATGAGGGAATGATGGACCGGGAGTTTGGGATTAACAGGTGCAAACTATTATATATAGAATGGGTAGAGAATAAGATCCTATTTTATAGCACAGGGAACTATATTCAATATCCTGTAATAAAACATAACGGAAAGGAATATGAAAAGGAATATCTATATATACACACATATACATATAACTGAATCACTTTGCTGTACAGCAGAAATTAATACAACTAACTGTATTTTAACAAAATAAAGTAAAACCTCTAAAAAGTAAAATAGTTGGCCAACATCTGTCATCATGTGTGGCTTGAAAGTTGTGGTCATTTTTGTTAATTCGTTTTAAATTTCTTTTATTGTTTTTGGTGAGTTGCATAGAAGTGGAGTAGTATAAAAAAATCCCTTGACTTTACTATCTTTAGGTGGAATTCTAATTTTATTCCTGAATGGCACTGCTGAATCTATAACTCAAGAAGGGACCATATTTCTCAGGAGTTGTGTGGTTTAGCTAATACGTGCTGATATTACCTTATCCTCCAGAGGGATTATAGCCTCTATAAAATAAGAAAAATACATCTCCCATGCCAGGATTTTTTGGACGATATTCTTTAAGTTCAAAATACTTTCCTGCGGTATGTAAACTGGCTACACCCTTTTAGAAAGTCAAATAAACAGCCAATGTACTTTTTAAAATCTTCAGATGCATTTTAAGGGCTTTCCCAACAATTAAATTCTGCAGGTTTTAAACATAATCCCTGTTCTTATTTTTCTCTGTCTTACAAAGAAGAAAAGTATGTGCCAACATATAAAAATATTTTCCTGTTGTAGTATAATAGCCGGTTTTATGAGCTTCTGCTCAGAAAATACAATGCATAATAATGTAATGTGTTAAACTAGTTTTTATTTGTCCTCAAATTTAAAATGTTAAAATTATATTAGTTTCAGATGTACAACATAATGATTCCATATATGTATATATTGCAAGAAGACCATCATTCAGCCAATAAATCTAGTTAGCATCTATCACTACATGTAGTGGGTGTTGAGGGATGAAGGAAGTTGGAGAAGTCTCGATAACGAAATAAAGAATGGAAAGAAAATGTTGCACAGTGAGAAGAGACATTGGGTTCTAGTTTAGAACCCAATGCAGGCATTTAAGTATATTTTATTAAAGTTATATTTTCTTAATGGATAAAGATTTTATTTTATAATGTCAATACTTTTCCAAGAAGTCAAACACAGAAACTCTTTTTAAAAATACTTACTGAAAAAAAATAACAACAAAGACCCCCCAAAGGTTTCATAAGCAAGTGACCTAGTTTTGTTCTCAGCTATGTTTTTATAGACATCTATTACATATAATCTCTTTAGGAGTATGGAGTGTCCTCAAAAAACTTAAATATAGAAATGCCATATCATCCAGAAATTCCACTTCTGCGTATTTATCCAGAGGAAAAAACCCCACGAACTCAAAAAGATATACCCACCATGTGTGTGTATATACACATATACACACAGTGGAATATTATTCAGTTATTAAAAAGAAGGAAATCTTGCCACTTGGGACAACATGGATGGGCCNTGGAGAAGGGAAAAGCTACCCACTCCAGTATTCTGGCCTGGAGAATTCCATGGGCTGTATAGTTCATGGGGTTGCAAAGAGTTGGACACGACGGAGCGACTTTCACTTCACTTCACATGGTAACTATAATCAATCAGAGTACATTGTTGCGTAGTTGCTCCACTGTGTCTGACTCTTTTGAGCCCCCAAGGACTGAAGCCCACCAGGCTTCTCTGTCCATGGGATTCTCCAGGCAAGAATACTGGAGCGGGTTGCCACTTCCTTCTCCAGGGGATCTTCCTGACCCAGGGATTGAACCTGCGTCTCCTGCATTGGCAGGCAGATTCTTTATTGCTGAGCCACTGGGAAAACTCAATAACACTATATTGTATGTTTAAAAGTTGCTAAGAGAGCAGAAGGGCTTCCTTGGTGGCTCAGCGGTAAAGAATCCGCCTGTCAGTGCGGGAGATGGGTTTAACCCCTGGGTTAGGAAGACCCCCTGGAGAAGGAAACGGTAACCCTCTTCAGTATTGGTTTTTTGTTTTTTTTTTTTCCTTCAGTATTCTTGCCTAGGAAATCTCACGGACAGAGAAGTCTGGTGGGCTACAGTTCATGGGACCATAAAAGAATTGGACACAGCATAGCATCTACACAGCAGAGTAGATCTTAAAAAGTTTTCATCACAAGAAAAAAAGAATCCTAACTATGTGTGGCGATGGATGTCAACTAGACTTACTAGCTAAATGGTCATCATCTTGTAATACACACATACATGGAATCATTATGTTGTACATCTGAAACTAATATAATGTTATCTATCAACTGTATCTCAATAAAGTATATATTTATAACACTTAAAAATTTAGCACAAATAAAAACTAGTTCAATATGTTGCATTTATTATGCATTCTGTTTTCTGCGGAGAAGTTCACAGAACCATATATTGTCGCTCATCTAAGAAATATTTTTATATCTTGGAACACATTCCTCTTCTTTGCGAGTCAGAGAAAATGGAAAGAAGAGAGGACTCGCATCAGGACTGACTTTTCTAAGCAGTCGTAGAATTTGGCAGAGGAATGGAGTCTTGGACTTAAAACCTTGGCTGGCCTGGTGAGCAGGCCAGACTGTGACTACTCTTCCCCTAGTCGGCTACCCTTGCATCCTCCTTGCCCGGCACTTTCTCCGATTTGGTCATTTCCCCTGCAGCCGGCACCGTCTGGCCTCAGCTTCGGGCCCTTCCTGCATCCTTTGCCAGCTCCGCCCTGAGTCAGTTTCCCCAGGGTAGCAAGTCCCGGGGAACCGCCCCGCCATCAGCCGTTTCATCACCCCAGTTCAGGCTCCCCCAGAGCGGGCCACTTTGTCTGTGTGGGTCCTTACTGTCTTCCTTCTGGAGCCGGGAGTTCCAGGGGGGCCTGGCCAGCCTCTTCTTCCCTGTCAAAGGAACAGACAGCGGTTTGACAATAATGATGCAGCACTGACATGCACGCTCCTCAAAACTGGCTTCTTGGGCTCCCGGGAGGGTGGATGGGGACTCACAGGTCAGACTTACCATCCCTGAGGGATGAGGCCTTGACCCAGCGGTCACAAACCGCACCTCGCTGCCCGTGTGATGTGGCCTCATCTGCTCATCACCACCGTCTAACTTGTGGCTGGGCAGTCAGTTAAGAGTATTTCAACCGAACTGTCCCCATGTTGCCGCAGAATCATCCGTGTGATGGGATGGCTATGGCTTCTATGGATTTCTCCCTTGGGACTTCCTATTCTGTCTGGCTAGCCTGTGTAACAGCCTAATTAGCACCCTAATCTGAATAAAATCTCCCAATACACATCCTCCCAAGGTAGGAAAAGGAGGCATAGAGTCTATAACAAGACATACATTGGCCACTTAATAAAAAAGGGCAGGTAACATTCTCTGGAGGTTTATGATGTGGAAGGCTCTGTTACTGAATTCCCACATCCCTTTCCAAAGTAGGCTACTTGTCCAATTTTGAAGATGAGAAAACAGAGGCTTGTAGAAAGTAGCTGAGGCCACAGAGTTGCTAAGGAACAGAGCCTGAAACGGAGGCCAAGCCTTTTCCCAAAGAACTTCCTCACCATGAATCCAGTCACACACATTTTCCAGACAATTGCTTTCCTAAAATTCTGAAAAACAAGCTTACATGATCAGATTTAGATGTATGCTATCCCATAAGACTAATCTCAAGAGACTTGCCTTGAGAGTGTGGCCTGTAGATATCTACCAGATCTTATTCTCTCTCTGCTTCTTTTTTTTTTTAATCAGGTACCATATATAATTGATATCTTTTTAGGATATGTGTCCTCTGGATCCTGGGAAGGCCTGCAGTTCTTTTGCTAGTGCTTTCTATCAGCTAGCCCTACATTTTAAATCAGAGGTTAGATCTTTTCATTAGATTCAGAAGAGAGAATGTGTCTTAAGTTCCAGTGTAGCAAATAAGAAGGAATAAAAAAATCTTTCTGCTTCTAAAAATAGATTTTCTATATCAGGTATATTCACTCTGATTCTAAATTCTTTATACACATTTCATATTCTATCACTAAAACCCTGAGCCCACCACTGTCACGTATTTATTAAGTTACTTCCAAAACCCCACAGTTTACCTGTCTTCCAAGTTCTCCTTTCAAGCCCTTGGGTCCCTCTACGCTATTGTCAAATCCAGGAACTCCCTAAAAAATAGAAAATAATAGGCTTTGAACATTTCTCCTAAAACTATGATATGGTTGTAACATACCTGGTCACCCCCCAAAAAAGTGACAAGAGAAGGTTAACCCATTTGAAAGCAGAAGTACACTAAATTATAAATGGTTTATAAGTGTCTTCTTTTCCTCCCAAGCTCTGCATTAGCAGGACAGCATGGAGACCTAAGGCAAGTGTGTGGGCCCAAGAGAGAGCTTGTGATGGAACACACGGGGAGGAGGCAGGGAGACATGAGTTGTGTTTAGGGAAACTCCTATCCTGGGTCTGGAGGTGTTTCCTTCTTGCTACTACCCTCTTTCTCTTAGCTTCTGACCTTCTTTCTTGGGGCCTCGGCAAGTTTATATTTGAGGGTTGGTAGATTTTACCCCCCATCCCCTGCCCTTGGGGGAGGCAAAGTTTTTTTTCATTTGTTTGTTTTATTTTTATTGAAGTCCAGTTGGTTTCCAACAGTGTGATAGTTTCAGGGGTACAACAGAGTGATTCAGTTATATATATCTATATATATACCACTTCATGGGAAATAGATGGGGAAACAGTGGAAGCAGTGTCAGACTTTATGTTTTTGGGCTCCAAAATCACTGCAGATGGTGAAAAAAGATCCTGATGCTGGGAGGGATTGGGGGCAGGAGGAGAAGGGGACGACAGAGGATGGGATGGCTGGATGGCATCACCGACTCGATGAACATGAATCTGAGCAAGTCCCGGGTGTTGGTGATGGACAGGGAAGTGTGGTGGACTGCAGTCCCTGGGGCAGAATCAGACACGACTGAGTGACTGAACTGAACCTAACTCAACTGAGTGAGATTGAATGAACTACTGATATTCACCACCCTGATTCATCTCACAAGAATATACTTGAGTAAAAGAAGCTGGGAATGAAGAGTGCATCTTGTGTAATTCCTCTGAAAGGTTCAATAATGGGTAAAACTAACTCATGGTCCTGAGACAGTGTGATTGCCTTAGGGAGGGCTGGTTGTGACTGATACACATGAGGTGGTTTGGGGGTTGTTCTACTCTTGTCTGATGTTCTGTTTCTTTACCTGAGTGGTGAGTACACAGGTTATTTATAGTGATCAAGCTGTGAATTTACAATGTCTGTACTTTTCTGAAGCATGTTACAGCTCAACAGGAAATTCAAGAGATAGGGATTGTTCTACTCTTGTCTGATGTTCTGTTTCTTTACCTGAGTGATGAGTACACAGGTTATTTATAGTGATCAAGCTGTGAATTTACAATGTCTGTACTTTTCTGAAGCATGTTACAGCTCAACAGGAAATTCAAGAGATCTAATGAATAGCATGGTGATTATAGACTGTGATATTATATTATACACTTCAAAGTTGCTAAAAGACTAGGTTTTAAATGTTTTTACCACACAAAAAACGTGGTAATTATGTACGTGTTAAAGGACTTAGCTAACACTATGGTGGTCATCCTAGGATATAAATACATCAAACTAACCTGTTGTACATCTTAAACGTATGCAGTGTTATATAGATATCACATTGTATACACAATTATATCTCAATTTCTAAAGTTTTAATGAATGTTTTAAAAAACCTATAAAATCCTAATTCATTAAGGTTTTGAAGGCTGATGTGTGGGTGATCAAAGTCCCAGAGTACTGATGTCCAATGGACTTGGCATATCCCCTAGGTTGGCATGCGTCCTGTTTGTTTTGGTGTAGGTTATGCCTACTCAACTGGGTTGTATCCCCATTAAAGCAGGTATTTCTGGGTTCTACGTTTTGCCCAATGTACTTTTAGCTGACTTGGACTCAAGGAAATGAAGCTAATATTCTTAATGGAGAAAGATTCTTGGAGAAGAGAAAAAGATGGCTCCATTTCTTTCTTCCTGTCCATATTTTGAGGTACCCTGAGGAAGATAATGGAATGGGGTGGAATTCCTTCAGAGCTCTGAAGCACAAGGAAGTTCTGAAAATGTTTTCTCAAAAATTACATATGCAAACAGTGGCCAGACTGTCTCACTGTCCATACTTATCTTGTACATGACGAGTATTAGGCACAAGGGACTTGCTTTTAAAACTCTAAACAGACATGCCCATGATGATTTCAACTCAGAACTGCTACGGTAGTACTTTTTTATTATTATTTTTTTTAAGTCATCTGTATTTGTTACAACTTTTTAAAGCAGAATGTGACTTGAGCACTACATTTCCATTCACAAAACTTGCTCCAAGTTACTTTTCCAGAGGCTTTACAACATGCCTGAGCAGGCTTATAAGTTTGCTACTCTAAACAATATTTTTCTTTGGAAAACAAGCCCTATGTATGGACAGCGACTCCAATCAAGTTGGTTCAGCTTAACACACTGACTTCTAGAGGCCTGGCACATGCAGTCATAACTACAAGGTAGTACTTTAAAGTAGCGCTCCCCCTTCCCACCAGAAGCGCTGATGTGGAAATGAGCCCTGATGTGACATTAGTTTGCAGCCCCTCGGTCCAAGCACTTACTGGGTCTCCACGCAAGCCCTTTGCTCCACGGTCCCCAGAAATTCCTCTCTCTCCTGGGATTCCCTGAAGTCAACACAAAGAAGGACAAGAATTTTAAGTGACATTAATAAAAACAAGGAGCTTATCTTCTCCCTGATTTGAATTATTAAATGTTTTCCTACTAAAGTTATTTTGTAGAAAAGAGGAACAACCAGTAGTTTCAGACACCATGTGAATAATTTTAAAGTGATCACAAATATTTGCCACAGTGGTGAACTCTATGTTCCAGACAGATGCATTGTCTTGTCCATTTTTTTTTATAACTACTGTATGCACCAGGTATTGGTTTTATCCTTCTTTTGATGAGGCAACTGAGATTCAGAGAGGTTATCCATAATTGACTCTCTACCCTCGAGTCTGGGCATGGCTTGTTCTGGTCAACAGAAAGAGTAAGATCTACTTGTAAGATCTACCAGGGTCTCCATGAGAGTTCCAAGCCTAGGCCCCAAGGGGCCTCGAGAGAACTTGTGTGTTTCTATTTGCTCCCTTGTGCTTCAGCCACGGCCATAAAAGGTCTTGGTCAATGTGGCCCGGCAGCTCTCTGCTCTCAGAAGGAGAATAAGAGACAAGTGAAACAAAGCCCCCAGCCAACCTACAGACACATGAACCAAGGTCAGCCACGCACTGCCTAGATCAGCTGAACTTCCCAGACACATCAGAAGTTAAGGTTTCTTGTTGCGTGCAGTTGAGGTCTTCTGATTATCCTAAAACACTTTCATCCTAGCTGACAGATACACCTAGTGTAGCTGTCTTACTGTTAGTCACACCTTGAATTCCCAGTGCAGTTTCTACGTTGTCCCTTTATTGAATGCATACCTGGCCTCCTTCATTGCCTTTCTCTCCTTTTGCTCCAGGAAGACCCTTGTCACCCTAAAACACAGAGAACGATAAACTCAAATTCTCATTTCCTTAATGAGAACTAGCTCAGAGGGTTTTCATGATACAAAGAGAAGGTTCTACCTGTTCTCCATTTAACCCATCAATTCCACTTTCCCCAACTTCTCCCTGAAAAGACAGACGTGGTCAGAATACACTGCATTGCATTTACGTGGAAAGAAGTCAGACACTAAATAAAAAGTCTAATTTTGTGTTCTATATACACGCTCTTTGCTGGGCTGGCCCTGGGTCATATTAAAGATTACTGAGTCATAGAAATTGTCAACCAAAAATAAACATTGCCTGCAATAAAAGGCATTAGTAAACAAAATGAAATGATCAGCAATAAAAAGGAAGGTCAACAAAGCTTCATTTGTACAATCTACTGGTCAATCACCTCAAAAAGAAAAGTATTTCTAGGTAACAACAGATGGGCAGGTAAATGATGTTTGGTTTCATACCTCCTGTCCATTTAGTCCCCTGCTTCCCTGAAAACAGAAAGGACAGGGGGCGTTAGTGTGGGGAAAGGAATCAACGTGGGGAAGACTTCACAGTGTTTGTGCAATCCTTACCTTCGGGCCTTTGGCACCGAAGCATCCTTTAGTACCTTGTTCCCCCACAGGTCCACTGGCTCCTCTTTCTCCCTAAGGAAGAGCACATACTCAGATGACCTTTTCCCATTGTCATCTGGAATCTGTCTTGGAAATCTGACAACGTTTGTGTTGGATAAAAAAAATAAAGAGCAACTGCTCATGGGTTTATAACCCAGAATTCATGCTTATAAAAACTGAGAGTGGAAGTAAATCAGAGGTATTCTGATGACAACCCTCTGTGTGGGATCCCACCTGGATACTCTCCAGGGTGGGGTAGGATATAAATAAAATGGACAGACAACGGCTGGCAGCTAAAATGCATTCTCAAGATTTCAGAAGACATTCCGGGAACAGACAGTGAAGAATTGATGAGACATCGAAGCAGGATGCTCTAGGTATGATCTAAGCAAGGAGCAGATTTCTTAACCAAATTCCTTCCCTTTCTCTCTTTCTATCTTTAACCCAAATGCACTCCTGCGATCCTTGTCTTGGTCATCCCACCAGCCGGTGCAGCCTTGTGAGCTGAAACAAAGATGTCATCCTCAGCCATTCTCCCCGCAAGTGATCACCAAGGTACATCCATTCAACCTCCTTAACTTACCTATTCACACTGCCCTAAGCTTTGTCCTGCATCTGCTGCTTGACACCTGCTCCCTACCTTGTCATCCTCCATGAAGTTGCCTGAGCATGCTTTCTAAACCCATGCCCTAGCCGTTTTTAACCCTGTGCTTGAACATCATAGAAACAGTGGAAACAGTGACAGACTTTATTTTTATGGCCATGAGTTTAAGTAAACTCCGGGAATTGGTGAGGGACAGGGAGGCCTGGCGTGCTGCAGTCGATGGGGTCACAAAGAGTCAGACACGACTGAGCGACTGAACTAACTAAACATCATTAAGTGATGCCCATCAACTGGAAGACACCTTCAAGTCTTTCTCAGAGTATTCAAGACTCCCAGAACTCTGGGTCTTGAAACGTAATCTCCTCTCACCATGTCCTGGATACTGGCCATGTTGACCATATGTCATTCTGCAAACACACAATTCTCTGACTCAGTTACACACCCTTGATCACACTGTTCTCCCTGTAGTAGAATATTCTCCCCGGGGCTCTTGGCCTGGAGAAAGTTCTATCTCTTCTCAGATGCCACCCAAGCATTACCCCCTGTCTGCAGCCTTCCTCTCAGGCTGTCACCTGAGGCTGTTCGGTATTTGCAATTCCACACCCTATCGCTGCACCTCATATACCTCTAGCAGAGTCCTCATGTATAACAACTAAACCTACTGCTTCTCATTTGTCTTTCCACTAGTCTGGAATTTACCTGAGATAGGAGCAATCTTTTTTTTTTTTTTTCTTTTTTATTTCTGTGGTCTAAAGCACTGTGCCTGGCACATGGAGAGATGTCTTAAGATGCATTTGTTAAATGAATGCTGAGTGTATTTATGATGAGGTCTTTGATAAATAATGTGATAAACTGTAAGATGCTTAATATACACTTAGTTAATGGATGGAAGGAAGGAGAGAAAGAAAGAAGGAAAGACAAATGGATGAATAGATGCAAGAAAGGGCAAGGTCCTAGATAAACAGTGTGGTGAGTGGGTTTACTCATGCAGAATGGAAGGGGGAAAGGGCAGTGATTTGACTCTTCGAGTGAAAAAGAGAAGTTTTTCATTGAGTTGATTATACAGTGTTGGTGGATAGTCCAAGAGGGAACAGTAGGTTAATAAAACACTGGTGACCTGGAAAAACCTTAGACTTTGCGAGTGAATCCTTAGAACTTGACTTTTCTCGCTTCCTTCTGAATTGACACAAATGATCTCATAGCGTAGATACGTTCTTAGGAATAGATGGAGCTGGAAAAAACCTTGACTTACAGCAGTGCCCTCCTCTCCCAAGTAGCCTTCACTGCCTTTAAAACCTGGAAGTCCCTGGGAATAAGGAAAGGAAGGGTACATTAGCACTCCGTAGATCAAAACTCAGAGGTAATCAAGCAAGAATTCCTCAACTTCACAGTTTTACTTTATGTAGAGTAGTATGAGTTTGCAAAATACAGTCCTCCCCCTCCACAAACTAAGCTGCATTTACACACATAAAAACAAACGGAATTTTGAGAGAAGTATCCAGATAACCCAAGGGTGGGTGTGTGAGAAACATATTTTCCATAGCTCTCTCTAGGGTTTAGAGCTGGGGTTTATAGAACTGGAGTTTTTTTCCTAGACAAACATTCAATGAACACAGCTATATTTGCCCCTGACAGGCTAGAATTATCCTTTTTCATTAAAAATTCTCTTTGAGGATTTATGCTACATGTAAAATACACCACACATATTTCTTTCCATTTTTCCTGATATCTGTTAAAAAAAATTCTACCATTCTCTGTACATGAAATCAAAGGATTCAGAAAATAATTAGTCCAAAAACTTTCTTTAGAGAGACAGCCATGGTGATTTGAAAGTTACAGTACTATCTATAAATTACCCCAAATCAAACACACATGTAAATAAGTAGTACTGAAATTGTTAAACACACCCATAGTATGTTTATGCATATTTGAACATTCCCTCAAAGCCCAAATCATATTTTCACATAAGGGTACCTTAACTTCTTTGGGTTAGGAAATATATGAATCTGTTGTTAGTTACTGTCTTTAGACTTGGTCTGTTTTTACTTACATATTTCTGGCAATATTTTGGTCTGGGTAGAGCTGAATGAAACATCTTAGCATCTCTTGCTGTGACAGGGTGATCTGATCTAGCTTTTCAGCAGACTACACAACTTATTCCCCATGTGATTTAAATGACTGCAGCCATTAAAAATAGAAATTAAAATGACTCCTTAGTATTTAGGAGGCTTTCATTATTCAACACAAGAGATCCCAGTTGGTTTTTCTGCATCTTGTCATCACTGCCAGGACACTGGATAATCAACAATCTAGGCAGTTTCTCTCTCTCTCTCTCTTTTTTCTTTTTGGCTGTTCTGCCTGGCATGTAGGTCGAAACTATGCTCCCTCAGTGGAAGCATGGACTCATAACCACTGGACTGCCAGGGAGGTCCCATCAGCAGTTTTTCTCTTGATGCTTGTATAAAAAGGTTTTTAAAAAGACTTCAATTTAGAAAACCAAGAAGAAGCCTATCTAATTGGACATATAAGCAGCGTGATAAATGGTTACCTCAAAGGCTCTACCTAGGAGCCCTTATTTCTATCTAAACCTGTTTCTGAAAAACATACTACATTCAAGTAAAGTGAGCGAATGTTGCAACTAAAATCACCGTTTTCCCTGCTGGTCCAGGGTCTCCCCTTGCGCCATCTCCTCCAATGCACTTGCAGAATAAACAGCAGCACGTCCTTTCCGCAACATTGACCTTGAGGGGGGTAGGAATACATTACACTTGATGGTTTCACTGCCCAAATCACACTCACACACAAGCTCAAGGTGCTCTAGAGAGGATGAGGGAGACAGTCTTTACCTTTCATCTTTCCTTCTGTGATCTGCATTCTCTACCAAATGAGGAATTCAGAATCAACTCAAAGATGTTTTTGTGTTCTCGAAAAGGCATCAGTTTAGCCACAGGCGATTCACTGCATGCCAATTCATTAATGGGATCTCCTGTGCCCACACCATCCCAACACTGACCATGGCATTTTTAATTATCCTGTATAATGCTGCCCCTAATAGTTTGTTCAATAAAAAGAATACATGCCGTTTTTTTTTTTTTCTTTACTTGTTTTGTGAAATATTTGTATGCTGGAGAATTTAGACAACTGTCCACTGTCACATTGTTTGGCATGGAGTTCAATGGTCAACACTTCTAGAACAGTTTGTGTGGGACAGGATTTCAAAGACAACAATTACGTGTTCAACATTCGGAAGCACTTGCTGTATAGGGTGGGCACATGAAGAGATTTTATACTCTGGTTACATTTTATACTCTGACCAAAAAATGTATTATATATTTTTAAAATTTGAGTGAATTTCATCCTGGGCCTAGTTAGTCATCCCCTGAAAAGTTGACATAGTCCATCACATTTGGGGGGCTTCTCTTGTGACTCAGTCAATAAAGAATCCGGTGACCCTGGTTCGTTTCCTGGGTCGGGAAGAACCCCTGGAGAAGGGAACAACAACCCACTCCAGTGTTCTTGCCTGGAGAACAATTAACCCATAAGATTTATTTTAAGGAAACTTCTGTCTGCAACAAATACTGTGCTTTGCCTCAGTGGGGTAGAATCAATTTCTGTGTTGAGAAGTTTCCCATTGAAATTCTAGTGTGATGAAAAATGAAAATATTTTGTTATAACCATTTCACAATTTCTCCTCTAAATTGTTTCTTATTATATACTGTTTCTTTTCTGATATTAGAAAATCCTCTGTTTTTTCCCCCGTAAACCTCAGAAAACCCAATAAAACTTGAAATGTGTGAAACCAAACAACAACAGAATGGATTCTGTGATTTTGTATTAGATAATATCAATTTTCTTTGGATCACTAACATCCTACAGCATATTTTACTATTAACATTAAAATGGGCTATTTCTAAAATTAAACATTTCTTATACAGTATTGCATTTATATGATATCTAAAAGCTGATAACCTTGTTTGAAGAATAACTTCCTCCCTCTATGAATTACCAATTTTACATTACAAATTTCAGAGACAGAAAAAAATTTTGTAAAATAGATACCATTTTCCCATGTAGAAAGGAATTACAGCTAAACTTCCAAGTTAAGTTACAACAAAACTTCTATATTCTCTAAGCAATTATTTGTACGTAATTACTACACTGAACACACTGTTCATATATCTATATGCAAGATCTATTGTCAGAAGGTAGCAGGAGAATGGATAAAGAAACTGTGGTACTTATATACAATGGAATATTACTCAGTCATAAAAAGGAATGCATTTGAGTCAGTTCTAGTGAGGTGGATAAACCTAGAGCCTATTATACAGAGTGAAGTAAGTCAGAAAGAGGACAACTAATATCATTTATTAACGCATATATAGAGAGTATAGAAAGATGATACTGATGAACCTATTTGCAGAGCTGTGATAGAGACACAGACATACTGAACAGATTTATGGACGTGGGCAGAAGGCAAGAAAGGAGACAGTGGGATGTATGGAGAAAGTTAACATGGAAATATGGTGGGATGTATGGAGAAAGTTAACATGAAAACATATGCATTAGCATTATGTAAGCTAGACAGCCAATGGGAATTTGCTCTATGACTCAGGGAACTCGATTCAGGGTTCCGTAACAACCTAGAAGGGTGGGGAGGGAGGTTTAAGAGGGAGAGGACATAGGAATGCATACCCATAGCTGATTTACATGAGTCAGTTCTAGTGAGGTGGATAAACCTAGAGCCTATTATACAGAGAGAAGTAAGTCAGAAAGAGGACAACTAATATCATTTATTAATGCATATATATAGAGAGTATAGAAAGATGATACTGATGAACCTATTTGCAGAGCTGCGATAGAGACACAGACATACTGAACAGATTTATGGACATGGGCAGAAGACAAGAAAGGAGACCGTGGGATGTATGGAGAAAGTTAACATGGAAATATGGTGGGATGTATGGAGAAAGTTAACATGAAAACATATGCATTATCATTATGTAAGCTAGACAGCCAATGGGAATTTGCTCTATGACTCAGGGAACTCGATTCAGGGTTCCGTAACAACCTAGAAGGGTGGGGAGGGAGGTTTAAGAGGGAGAGGACATAGGTATGCATACCCATAGCTGATTTACTTTGATATTTGGCAGAAACCAACACAGGAGTGTAAAGCAATTATCCTTCAATTAAAAATAAATAGAGCTTCCCTGGTGGTTCAGACGGCAAAGAATCCGCCTGCAACGTGGGAGACCTGGGTTTGATCCCTGGGTTAGGAAGATCCCCTGGAGAAGGAAATGGCAACATACTCCAGAATTCTTGCCTGGAGAATCCCATGGACAGAGGAACCTGGCAGGCTACACACAGTCCATGGGGTCTCAATAGTCGGACACAACTTAGCCACTACCACCACCAAAAATAAATAAATTTAATTATAAAAAAGAAAGTAGGAGGCGCTAGCACCTTATTGGGAAGTGTCTTGATATGCTGATTACAGATTTTATAAACTATAAGCAAATTGCAAATTTTCACTCATTAAAGGTGAAAGCAGTCATAGATAACTTGAAAACCTTCACCAAGCTAGTTTGAATTCTTGTATGTTTCAGGATTGTGATGCATCTTATCTAGGGGTTAGGTTCTAAAAATAGACCATAAGGCAAAAATTTCCATCAGTCAAGACAACTTTTAAACATCTTTTTGTCATAAAGTACGACACGGCAGGTCCATCATCATGTCGCTAGTTTTTCTTCCAAGATTGGAACTGATGTTCTTTTTTCAACTGAACTCTGTGGAATCAGCTCTATTCACAGGCCATTTGCAGAGAAAACACATATCTTAAACAGCAGAATCATATTCAGTGTGGTGAATTTTGGCATTTAGTATCTGCAAGGAATGCGAAAACTGGCTGACTAGGGGATCAGCCAAGTCACTCTTACGGCTTAGACACCCTTTGGTAGTATATTTATTGACTGTAATTTGGGCAGGATTATAGGTGCTATTTAGTTTCTTCTTCCTTCTGTTTTTTCTCTTGGCCAAGCATATAAATTAGACATGTTTTCAGACATAGAGAACAAACTTACGGTTACCAAAGAGGAAAATTGTGGGGGAGGGATAATAAGGAGTTTGGGATTAATATACACACTACTATACGTAAAATAGATAACCAACAAGGACCTACTATAGAGCACAGGGAACTATACTCAATACTTTGTAATAACCTATAAGGGAAAAGAATCTGAAAAAGAATATGTATATATATGTATAGGTATATATAGATATATCCATATATATGGATATATAACGGACCTAGAGATTATTGTACTAAGGGAAGTCAGACAGAGAAAGACAAATGCCATACGATATGACTTACATGTATAACTGAATTACTTTGCTGTAACCTGAAATTAATACAATGCTGTAAATAAACTATATTTTGAAAAATAAATAGAGAACAATAACAAAAAGAAACATGCTTTGACACTGCTCTATGATATGACGTTTCTTTCAAAACACCCCCTCATTTTGACTTTTCACAAAATCAGAAAAGCCTGGATCTACTCCCAAATGAACAAAATTCGTTCACATTCATAAGTCTAAATATGAACCCTGTATACAAAACAAATAGAAAATTTAAACTCATGAGCCTGAATAACTCACCAGGTGCTTTGACAATTGGCTCCCAAGGTCCCTCATCCCAAGAGTGAGCTGTGTCTTGTACTCAAATCCTTTCCCAAACTCAATGTACAGAAGATCAGCCAGGTCGCTGGAACTGGTGGGTCCATCCAGAGCAACAGTGATGAGGGCGTTCAGGCCTAGCCAACACAGTCAACAATTCTCCAGTTAAGGAGGGTATGGCTACTTTAACCTCTTTGCCTATGTATGAAATTTGCTATTCCAGGAAGCCAGTCGCAAGAGGAACACTCATTTTACAGTTCATTCTCCCCCACCACACACTGTGAAACTGACAAGTGACAAGATCATCACCAGGGAACAAAACAATTTTCATTTTTCAAAACTAATTAGGTTGGAGAATAATTTATATAATATATTATAACATATCCTTGAGGTCTCTGATGACTTAAAGTAAAATAGTGAGTTTAAAAGACTCCGCAGAGAAAAGGGAAGCCTCCTATACTGGTGGTGCAGCCACTACAGAAACCATTACATAGGTTCTTCCAAAACTATAAACAGAGCTATCACACGATCCAGCAAGCCCACTCCTGGGCATATATCCAGACAAAACTATCACTCGAAAAGATGCATGTACCCAGATGTTCACGGCAGCACTAGGTACCACAGCCAAGACATGGATGCAAACTATTCATCAAGAGATGAATGGACAAAGAAGGTGCGCTACATATAGTATGCATATTACTCAGTCATAAAAAAAGAATGAAATAATGCCATTTGCAGCTACATGAATGGACCTGGAGATTATTGTACTAAGCGAAGTCAGACAAAGAAAGACAAATGCCATATGATATCACTTATATGTGGAATCTAAAATACAATACAAATGAACTTATTTACAAAACAGAAACAGACTCTATGCTTGAGTCTTCACAAACATAAAAAATCAATTTATGGTTACCGAAGGGGAGAGGAGGCAGGGAGGGATAAATAATGACTTTGGAATTAGCAGACAAAAACTACTATACATAAAATAGACAACAAAGTCCTACTATATAGCACAAGGAACTGTATCCAGTACTCTGTAACAGACCATAACGGGAAAGAATTTGAAAAGGATTGCATCTCTATATATCTGAATCACTTTGCACTATGCCACAAACCAACACATTGTAAATCAACTATATTTAATAACAGTAATAAGGAGTCCACAGATCATACTAAAGCACAGAGGAATCCATATGTCAAGAACGTAAGTATTCTAAATTTTTGCCACTTGGAAGGGAGGCCCTTGGAGCAGCAGTGGTGCCTTCATCTGGAAGCTTATCAGAAATGCAGAATTTCAGGCCCCATCCAGACCCGCAGAATCAGAATCTATATTTTAATAAAATCTCCAGGTGATTCACATGCACACTGAAGCTTGAGAAGCGTAAGTCTAAGTCACAATCCGGCTGGAATTACACGTACAAGAGACAGTTAAAGGTCTCTTGTAAGGCAATATGGAGCAAATGTCATAAAACCAACCAGAGCTGTGACTCATAGACTCTGGAAGTTTATAGATCAACACATTTCAAAGAAAACTTTTAGAAACTAAGAAAGGGTTGACTTATTTTATAAAGTAAGGACATTAAATGGTGATAGTAATAAGCCAGGCAATCATTAGGGTGGAGGTAACCATGCAACAACTGTGCCCTCATTTATTGATAATTACTATGTGCCTAGACGTTGGCTAAGTGCTTTACATGCATTATCTTATTTTTAAGATATAAATACAACATTATAGGTAAGTATGATTACAGCTCTATTTTACAGATGAGCAAACATTTTCACCCAACAGCATGACTCCAAAGCTTACACTCAAAGGGCATTTTAATAACAAAAATGTACTAAGGACGTAATAATAAAGGCCAGTCCTAAAGTTGGATAAATTTAGTTTTATGAAAAGATAACCATTTGGCATACCTTTTCTCACTTTATTAGGGATAGGTGAAGAATTCTTTGGATGGGACTTAAAAACCAATGGATCAGAATAAAGAATATTCAAGGAATTGGCAGAGTCAAGAGTGCTTTCTTATATAAGTTTCTATATGACTTTGAGAGGAAAAGGAGAATGAAGAAAATGCAGTTTCAGAGATACAGTGGGGAGGTTCAAGTTCTACAAGCGGCAAACAATGTGGTTGCTGACACGAACTAAAGGGAGAAATACCAAAGAATCAGGTGACTAACCTGTCCTAGTTTGCCGGAACTTTCCTGGTTTTAGTGCTAACAGTCTCTGGTTTGTCTCAAGCAAACAAAGACAGGTCACTTCGAAAAGTGAGAATGATGGGGAGAAGCGGTCTCAGGGCTGGGAGAGGCCATGAAGAGTGCCAAGTTCATCAACTGGTGTCTAATGATCAAAAGGAGGCATGCCAAGGGGTCTATCTAGAAGAGGAAAAGATCTCACATCTGATATTTCTTCTAAGTCCCAAGAAAGGTAGAAGTTTAAGAGTTATGAGAACCATGGGGTTGTTGATTTGCAGGAAGTACACATATAAACTTTAATTTGTAACTCAGGATTCCCTGGTGGCTCAGATGGTAAAGCATCTACCTGAAATGTAGGAGACCCAGGCTTGATCCCTGGGTTGGGAAGATCCCTTGGAGAAAGAAATGGCTACCCACTCCAGTATTCTTGCCTGGAAAATCCCCTGGACAGAGGAGCCTGGTAGGTTATAGTCCATGGGGTCGCAAGAGTCAGACATGACTGAGCGACTTCGTTTTCTTTCACTTTCACTTTTCTCAGGACAGAGGACTCCAATCCTGATCGTTTCGGACTCATCTGGTTCATATGATCTTAAACACAAGTGTTTTCACTTCTTCTCTGGTGGTTCAGACGGTAAAGCGTCTGCCTACAATGCAAGAGACCTGGGTTCAAGTCCTGGGTTGGAAGATCTCCCGGAGAAGGAAATGGCAACCCACTCCAGTATTCTTGCCTGGAAAATCCCATGGACGGAGGAGCCTGGTAGGGGTCGCAAAGAGTTGGACATGACTGAGCAACTTCTCACTTTTTTCAATTCTTAAAAAATGAATTAAGAAAAAGAAGCTTTCAAAAACTGGGAGAATAAAGAATCACTGAGTAGATTCTAGAGTACTGGATTTTTTACAGTGAAAAAAGTGATTCAAACTCCAATCTACAGTACAGTTCAGTTCAGTTCAGGCGCTCAGTCGTGTCCGACTCTACATGGATTAGTTATAAAGTGACATCCATCCTGAGCATCCTTTCCTCCTGGTCTTCTCTTGTTCCATGGTGATGGCTCAGTTTACATGTACAGAGTCTGGGGCCTCAAGTTAGAGAGGCTCTCCTGGGTTAACAGATGAAGGGCCCAGCATCAACTGAAATCATCTACGTTAAATATGGGAGGTCACAGCCAGAGGTGCTCTTTGTTTCAACTGAGAGACATTCAACACCTTTCAAAGAACATTGTGGCCCACACCCTTTTATCTTTCCCACTGAAAGGCTGTAGCTACTGTGAGTCCTCCAACCTTTACCTCTTTTTCAAAGTTGTTTGGGCTATTTTGGGTCCTTTGCATTTCCACATACATTTTGAACCTTTTTTTTATACATTAACAAATATCCTGCTTTGATTTTGATTGTGACTTAATTGAATCTATAAATCTGTTTGGAGAGAATTGAGATTTAACCATATTCAGTCTTTTTCATCATTGTTTTAGTAATTTTCAGCAAACAGACAACTATGTTTTGTTAAATATATACTTTGGCATTCCCTGTCGTGTGTACATTGCAAATGGCTTTTTAAATTTTGTTCTTCAGTTTTTCACTATCAGCGTTTGGAAATAGAATTGATTTTGAATACTGAAAAAAGATTCTAAATTTCTGAGGATATTCAAAACCTAGCTTCTGAAGTCAAAACTCATTCACCAGTTTTCTTCAGGAGTTGGGAAAAAGAAGATGGGTCCTAGAAATCTGCGTTTCCAAGAGAAACTTTCTGGAGAAAACTCTGATCTTGTCTGCAAAAGTACATCTTCCCCCATAAAAGAAAAGCTGAAGTTGAAAAAGTCCTTCCTATCCACCGGAGGGTCCTGTTCTCAGTCTTCATTAATATTTCCTCTTCAGATCAAGAATAAAGGCCAAGACAATAGAATAAAGAGAAGCAGCTTTAGTAAATCCAATAAAAATAAAACCCTTACCCTTCAGCTGTGAATTCAGTGAATTTTATGATCTGTTTAAGATGGAGAAATGAGAATCAGTGAAAAGACAAAATCTAGTGTGGCTCAGTGGTAAAGAGTCTGCCTGCAATGCAGGAGACATGAGAGACGCAGGTTCTATCCCCAAGTTGGGAAGATCCCCTGGAGAAGGGAATGGCAACCCACTCCAGTATTCTTGCCTGGAGAATCCCATGGACAGAGGAGCCTGGCGGGCTACAGTCCATGGGATCACAAAGTCAGACACGACTGGGTGATTAACACTTTCACTTTCAATCCACCTCTAACAGTTAACCAGAGAGACAGGCCAGATGCCCTAGAAGCAGAGTCTGAGATACCCAGTTAGATGTCCATGATTTATTGGGGAAGAACTCTCTAAAGAAAGGAACAGAGGTAAGCAGGGTCAGGCTGGGGAAGGAGCTGAGCGAGACAGTGTTTCAGCAAAAGTCTAGCTTCAGCCTGATCCCGTGGGGAACTCTGGAGCCTGAGTCACGCCACACAATTGGCATCCAAGTCTCTGCACTCCACCTGCTGCCCAAAGATGGGGACAGGGAGTAAACTTCAGGGCAAGGCGGGTGAAGGGCAGTTCCTCAGAGAAAGGGGGAACCTGTGGGTAACATGTGAGCAGCCAACACTCATAGCAGCTGGACGATGAGGGAGCCTGTCTGTAAGGGGTCTGGGTGGGGTACCAGTAACATCCACTTACAAAAATCTGTTTCTATTCTTAGTCAACCCCAAACATGTGAATGCATTTTCCTTCCACTGATCCGTATTTTAGTACAAATGGCCAATAAATCAGAATGAGCATTGGTTCCTAAAGCCAAAAGCCTGGTGCCAAAGCTTTAAAAACTCATTAACACCATAGTTGGTCCATCTGTCATCTGCAAGAAGGAACTGATTATGAAGTCCCAAGACATGAGTAAACTTGTCCACCAACGCTTGCAACTCTGAAAAGTTAAAGAGTGTTAGAAGAAAACTGTCCAACTCTCCCATTCCTTAGTCAAGCAGAAACGTACATGGTTCACTTCTGCTGACACTTAAGACATAGAAATATTAGATAGCATGGGGCAAGGGAGGCAGGAACATACTCCAGGAAAGCTTAGGAAGAAGAAATAAAGTAATACGAGAGAAAGGATAAGACACTATATTCAGTGCTATTTCGTATGGGGAGGAGGAAAAAAGTAGATGCCAAAATGTTGTGAGAGCTTGTTCGCCCTCCCAAGTGCATCCAGAGTGGAGAGGCTGCAAAGTCAGAGCTATTTGAGAGTCTGGAAGTGTAAGAGCGGGGACTCAGTTTTGAGATTTTAAAGGTTGTCAACACTCCTTTCCCAGCACTCCCTATGCTTCATACCTTCTTTTCTAAGTTCATCAGATTTTTGTTCAAGTTTTTCAACATCATCATCCAATCCATCTGAAAATAAGAGGGCCACCTAGAAGAGTATTCAAAAAAGAAAAATGAGTAAAAAGGAAGTCGTTGCAACCAAAAACCAATAAGTAAAATAAAACTAAGTTACCTTTCCCCGAGCTGCTGACTTATTCTGAAATGCATCCCACAGAGAACCCAAGTGGTTTGCGTTGAGAAGAGATGGTCCTTTAACTGTTATATCCTGCAAGCTGTTCAGTATGTTTTCACTGTAGATCTCAAACTTGGGGGAATATTTTTCTGCAGCATTGGTCACTTGAAAAGCCACACTAACCTGAGTCTCCGTGCCCACCTCACAGCTTACCCCATTGAGGGAGCTGATGGCACGTAAGACGTCTTGAAGATAGGTTTCCATCCAGGACTGGCCTTCCAGCAAAGTCTGCCCACTCTGCTGAGTTGAGATGTCAAATCCCACCACAACGTCCACAAAGCAATCTAGGATTCAAGGGAAAAGCATAATGCATTAGACCAATAAAGAACTTTATCTGACTTGGATGTCATGTTTGAATCATGAGACTTGGAATTCTTGTTTCCATCCCAGTTATAAAGTCGGAAAACAAGGAAGAAGATGTGAATACTGGGAAGGCTCAGAACCACTCTTTCACAACCTGTTAAAGTGGGGTTTTTTTGGGTGTTTTTTTTTTTGCCCCCAGCATCTATAAAATCTAGATGATTCTATAACAAAGTTCTGAAAGATTGCATTGTGTCCAGTGAAGAAGCTATGAAGAGTCACTTAAATAGCTGAAACATGTTGTGGAAATGTTAATAGTCCAAAAGAGGAAATTCATTTCATGCTACCTATCAACTGAGGTCATTCAACAAATATTAAATTATAATTAAAAGGGAAAAACATTTGAAAACAGAAAGTTGTTTAGAAAAATAAGTTAAAACAACAACAGCTCCTAAAGGAATGATTTTGATCATTTAATCCCTGAACAGAAAACCATTGAATTTCTAGAACACGTTACTGCCTTCAAGGAAAACACTCTCTTGTGAACAAACAAAGATGCCAAAATGTCATCATTGAGTGCTCCTAGGAACTGTCCTCTTTAAAATGAAGTATTTTAGCTTTTTGCCTAGTTTACTAAAATTAAAACCTCTAGTAAATAAGTTCCCACTGTTTATTTAACTAATTCAGATTGATGAATGAGTCCATGATAATGTGGTCAAAGAAACGGAATTTGGGGAACAGTCCAGAGGTGGCAGCCATATGTCTAAATACAATTAGAGAGAGTGGATCATTAAGTCAAGTGGGCTCTCACGGAATGGCCTTGCAGACTCTACAGAGACGTCTGCCCTCAAATCAAGAGCCCTTCAGAGCTAATAAGAAGAGGCAGAAATGGTTTCAAAAGTGGGCTAGGAAGAAGGCGAAAAGTGGATTTCCAAAGAGAAATAACGAAAGATGGTAGTCAAATAGCAGGAGTGGGAATCTAAAGGGGGCGAGGACTGGCTGCCAAGGGTGGTAAAAACAAGTAAAGCAGTGCTCTGAGAATCTGACAGCTAGCGGTGTGGAAGCCGGGAGTGGGGAGGCAGCGTTTAGTTCAGCCCTGTACAGGTCACCACTGTGTGACTACTAAACCACTTCTGCCAAATCTCTTAAGCTCTCTGAGCATTAACTGTATTGTCTATAAAAATAAGAAGATTATATATTTCAAGATAAAAAGCACAAAAAGAACAGGGAAAAGAAAGGATTGGGCAAGATAGTAACAGTCTCCTGGTTCCCTTCCAAACTCAAAGCTGATTTTAATTATCTGACTTATAAGGAAAGCCCTTAATTGGAATTAATGATGGCAGGGTTTTAGTATTAAGAAACACTGTCAAACAAATGAACTTACTTAAGAAACGGACTTACAGACATAGAGAAAAAGCTTATGATTGCCAAAGAGGGATTGAGATGGGGGAGAGACAAATTGGGTTAGTAGATACAAACTACCATATACATAAATAGAAAAGCAACAAGGCGCTATTGTGTAGCACAGGGAATTATATTCAATATTCTATCATAAACCATAATGAAGAAGAATATGAACAAGAATACATATGTACAACTGAGTCACTTTGCTGTGCAATAGAAATTAACACAATGCTGTAAATTAACTACACTTCAATAAACTTTTTTAAAAAGAAAGAAATATGGTCAAGATAGTAGGGTATATTAATAAGATTAGAAGACAGATTCTGGAGAAAACACTTCAAGTGAAAAGTTGGGCTGTTGGTGGTTATTAGCTGGGATAAGAAAATTTTCTTTGGAGATTTAAAAGAAGGGGGTATCTTAGATAAAAAAAGAGAGAGAGAAAGATCTGGAAAATATATTAGGTAAGTGAAGTGAAAGGAAAAGTTGCTCAGTCGTGTCCGACTCTTTGTGACTCCAAGGACTATACAGTCCTCATTAAGACAGGAACATAAAGAGATCCTTGTCAAGGAAAGTTGGAAATGACCATCAATTTTTTCTGATATTTCCCATATTCCTTGAGTCAGTTCCTGAAGGCGTGTCCACTCTGTCCTTATCAGACTGGCCTTTGGTTGAATGTCCTTTTTGACTCATCTTCCATGATAATATGAAACATAAGAGGTACTTTCAATTTTTTGGCTACCTAGTCATTCTGCTTCTGCTGCTGCTAAGTCGCTTCATTCATGTCTGACTCTGTGTGATCCCATAGACGGCAGCCCACCAGGCTCCCCCATCCCTGGGATTCTCTAGGCAAGAACACTGGAGTGGATTGCCATTTCCTTCTCCAATGCATGAAAGTGAAAAGTTGAAAGTGAAGTTGCTCCAACTCTTCACGACCCCAAGGACTGTAGCCCACCAGGCTCCTCCGTCCATGGGATTTTCCAGGCAAGAGTACTGGAGTGGGGTGCCATTGCCTTCTCCGACCTAGCCATGGCTCCATGTCAAAAAAGGCAGCAAGTCCATATCCTGAAAACTGCTGGGGGGGTCTTCTCTGGGTAGTTAGAACATGCAGACTCCAAGAAAAGTCAGGAGACTGGCATGGATGAAGTTAAGAAGGGTTTGGTTTAGTTGCTTAGGGGAATTTGGTGTATATTGAGGCATTAAATGGAAATATAGCTCTGAACTGCTAAATGATTAAAGTTTCTAAATCAAGGAACTCTTGGCAAACTGTCCTTTTGTGAACTGAACTACTCCATCACTCCGTGCACCTGGACTTATAAAATCACTTCAAGATACCTTTGGCAATACACCATGAGAGTTACTAAGACTCACTGCATATTTACACACACTTGTCCTCACGCATTCCTCATGTGTCCCTATGACACATGGAATAAATAGAAATGCTTCTAATACTCATTTTGCAGAAGAAGATGCTGTGGCTTAAAGAGGTTTGCCCGAGGTCTCACAGTTATTATTGTGGACCTCACATGTGGGAATCAGATCCAGGCCTGTCTGGAGTTCCTACACTGAACGACCTTATTTCCACCACCTCCTGGGTGGCCAGTGATGCTAGGTCATGCAGGTTTCAAATGCTATATTACGCTGCTGGAAGGGACAGCATAGCAGTGAGTGGCTTCTTTACATAGTAGAAGCTTTTGAGATATAAACCCGTGATGTCTTAATAAGCTCCAGCAATTCATAGCTGAAGCACAACACTTATAACGTGAACACCAGATAATCTAGACAGCAACTATATCAAGAAAACCTAGACAGCCACTATATCAAAAAATATAACAACCCACAAATGGGTTGGAATCAGACAGACGTAAATTTTAAAATTTGCTTAGTTTGTTGCCTCCAGTAAAATCTGGGCCAGGCTCCCAATAGTCCTTAGAGCTCCCTTTTCCTCATTTGTAAATGGGAATGAAAATATAAACCACAGAGAGTTTGGGAGTTTAATGAGATAATGCATTTATAATATTTTAAAATGCTTGACCCTCCATAGAGGCACAAGAAACACTGATTTTCCCCTCATATCTCTGTGCAGCTAACCATCCTTTCCCATAAACTAAATCTTAAGTACAATAAGAAAAAACAGAAATAATTTAACTGCACAAATGAGAAAACTCAGAAAGGTTAGTGACCGTTCCAAAGTGGTACATGTTTTATTAAGAAGCAAAGCTGGATGTTCAGGCTTTGAATCTGGTTTCTTTTGAGACACATCAAGCTACTGTCTGATTTCCTTTGATTTGGGAGTTTATTGTCCAAGAAGAGCTGGTATCATCCAGTATGTTTGCACAGGCTTTATCAGCTTTATCATTCCAGCCTCATTAGCCCTCAGACCACAGCTTGGCCACAAAGGCCTCACACATTTTTGTTTGTTACAGTAATCACTTGAAGTTTATCTTTAAAGTGTACTTTTCTTATTTATTTATACATTCATGACTTCTGTTTCGACTTTCTACTTGGCTTTCTTTCACCCTACTGAGGACAGATTAAATGGTTCCAAGATCATTTTCAGCCTAATGTGAATAAATGGAAATGGGTATTTCATGTGAAACAGGAAATTCATGTGGAAGGTTTGGCTGAGGTCACCAGGCACATTACAAAGAATGGGAAGAAAGTGGAGTGCAATCTACATAGACAGTCCTGACCAATGGCAGGACTCCTAAACTCCGGCTTACACACTGGGCCTTATAGAAGGTTTGTGCTTGGAGCCCAGAAGACTTACGAAGGGGACAGTCGGTGTGCTATGAGTCTCTGCCCACAAGTGCACACACACACACACACACACACACACACGCACACGAAGAGAGAAGATAATGTCCTCTTTAAGTGAAGAGAGAGGCACTTTGAGAGGGAACCTGGAGATGATACAGCCAAGAAATTCTACAGAATGAGACATGATGTCATGTTGCTTTCTACAAAGGAGAGGCACCCATGCCGGAACACCAACATTGGGGGGCTGGAACTCCAGGGTTTCCTGGGGAAACTGACACATAATTGTTTCCCATGGAGTTGATACGCCTGCACATAAGAGCTGTGTTGGGCTTCTCTGGTCTCCCATCCAAGAAGGTTTCCCTGGAGGGGCAAAGAGATAGCCGCAGATAAAGCAGGAGGCATCCCTAGATGCCCGGAAGCTGAGGAAGGCATAAGGGAACAGCTGGAATTGAGAGATGCTCCCCTTCCCCAAGGGACAGATGCGCCTGACAAATGGGCAGAAGGGGAAGTCTTTGAAGCAGTCATGGGTGGGCCCAGCTTTGGACAAGGGTTGCTGAGAAAATGCAGTTCTGAAAAGTGCCATCAAGTTAAGAACTTTCCTGGTCCTCCTTGGCCCATCTCCCTTGGCCAGCCCATTCTGGAGAGGCTGGACACCGTGATCAGTGAGGAGATGGCAAGGCCTGGGGGGAGGGGGCAACGAGGGAGGCGGGGAATGAGCGCTAAAATGGTCATGGTGCTCGGCCTGCAGCAGGCACAGTGAACTTGACTGAGTGTGAAGTCTGAAGAGTTATACAAGGATGGACATACTCATCACCAAGAAGAGGGTCATTTACTTCTTTAAAGTGACTGGGGGCAAGGCAAGAGCTGGCCCCGTGAATAAATCAAATGGGTCAATGGTAGACAAAAGTGAAGTGACTTGATGATGACATCCCAGGTGTCATGTTTATTCAAAGTAATGTTAGATATGCATGTCCTTATTTCATCTTCACAAGGATCTTTTGAACTAGATGTTTTGTGGTTAATTTTTACAGATGAGAAAATTAAACTTAGGAAAGTTAAGCCACTTGTGCAAGAAAAAGTAGCTGTTACATAGGCATTCGTAGTCCATTAACCACCCATCTCCAAAGCTGCATCTTAACAACCGTCTAGCCTTCCTATCCCTGGTGGAAATCTAGGGTTACTCTTTACCATAGGTAGCTATACAGAATCACGGCCAACCCAGCGGGGACTTTTATAAAAATAGAAAAAGTTATTTCTCCTTCCAGACCTTTCCTTCCATCTGCTGGAAAAAAAATGTCAAAATGTGCTAATTTTTAAGAAGATATTTACCAACTCCCGTGTTGAAGTTTCACATTAACGCTCTAAACTCTAAGATGCTCCCTCCATACCTGTGGCAGCAGTTGGCAGCCCCACTGCCAGGAAACCCAAATCTGTCAAATAGTTTGTTTTGGGGGGACACATTCTTCAGCCTCTGAAACCAACCAGAGTGTAAACAGGCCTGGTCCTCACACCTTCAGAAGGTGAGGCATTCCCATCACAAAGAGGGCATATGCTCCCAGGAGAGTAAAACTGGTTGAGACCCTGTGTCTCAATCTACAAGGGGCAGAAAACACGTGATAACTGAAAGGTTCCATTTGAAATTAACAGGCACAAATCTGCATTCTCCCCCCAGCCCCAGAGAAGGCATAGATCCTAGGAACCTGTTGGATACTCACTGCTGTCTCCCCCGGAGGTACAGATGTTACGAACAATCCTCTTCTTGACCTTCTTCAGCTCGTCAAAGTTGTGAACTGTCAGCTTCTTATCGGCGGTCCCGGTGATCTGAACGAGCTGCTGGTCATCCACATCCCCGACGCCCACGGAGTAAATGTCGATGCCTCTGTGTCTCAGCTCTTCGGCGGCCTGAGCCACCTCGTCTTGGGACTGGCCGTCCGTGAGGACCAGCAGCACCTGGGGGGTGCCTGCGTGGATCCGGCTGCCCATGTCCGGCTGGAAGTAGTGCCCTACCTGCCGGAGGGCGGCGCCGATGTGGGTGTATCCGAAGATCTGCTGGATGTTTTCGATCTGAAAGGAGATCTCCCTTTTGCTGAGGAACGTTCCCAGGGGGAACTCCGGCCGGTAGGTGTGGCTGAACTGGGCTGCTCCTATACGCACTCTGTTGTCACTGACATCGAAGTCTTGAATGACAGACGCCAAGAATTCCTTCATCTTCCTAAAGTCATCTGGATGAATGCTATTCGAGCCATCCATGAGGAACACAAGATCGACTTTTTCAATTTCACAGTCTACAAAGAAGACAAGAACAAAGTCAGATTGCTATTCTTTCTCTGACTGAGCAGGGGAAGTCAAAGGAACAAGACCAGAAGCTGACTGTGGCTCAGATCATGAACTTCTTATTGCAAAATTCAGACTTAAATTGAAGAAAGTAGGGAAAACCACTAGACCGTTCAGGTATGACCTAAATCAAATCCCTTACAGTTAGATTAGATTAGATGTGATAGACAGAGTGCTTGAAGAACTATGGATGGAGTACAGGCGGCCATGGTCAAAACCATCCCCGAGAAGAAAAAATGCAAAAAGGCAAAATGGTTGTCTGAGGAAGCCTTACAAATAGCTGAGAAAAGAAGAGAAATGAAAGACAAAGGAGAAAAGTAAAGATACATACACCTATCTGAATGCCGAGTTCCAACGAATAGCAAGGAGAGATAAGATAGCCTTCCTAAGTGCACAATGCAAAGGCATAGAAAAAACAATAGAATGGGAAAGACTAGAGATCTCTTCAAGAAAATTAGAGATACCAAGGAACATTTATTGCAAAGATGGGCACAATAAAGGACAGAAACTGTATGGACCTAACTGAAGCAGAAGATATTAAGAAGACATGGCAAGAATACATGGAAGAACTATACAAAAAAGATCTTAATGAGCCAGATAACCACGATGGTGTGATCACTCACCTAGACCCAGACATCCTGGAGTGAGTGCAAAGTCAAATGGCCCTTAGGAAGCATCACTACAAACAAAGCTAGTGGAGGTGATGGAATTCCAGCTGAGTGATTTTAAATCATCAAAGATGATGCTGTGAAAGTGCTGCACTCAATATGCCAGCAAATTTGGGAAACTCAGCAGTGACCACAGGACTGGAAAAGGTTAGTTTTCATTCCAATCCCAAAGAAAGGCAATGCCAAAGAATGTTCAAACTACCTCACAATGGTATTCATCTCACACACCAGCAAAGTATTGCTCAAAATTCTCCAAGCCAGGCTTCAACAGTACGTGAACCAAGAACTTCCAGATGTTCAAGCTGGTTTTAGAAAAGGCAGAGGAACCAGAGATCACATTGCCAACATCCGCTGGATCATAGAAAAGTCAAGAGAATTCCAGAAAAACATCTACTTCTGCTTCATTGACTACGCCAAAGCCTTTGACTATGTAAATCACAACAAACTGTGGAAAATTCTTCAAGAGATGGGAATACCAGGCAATCTTACCTGCCTCTTGAGAAACCTGTATGCAGGTCAAGAAGCAACAGTTAGAACTGGACATGGAACAACAGACTGGTTCCAGGTCAGGGATGGAGTATGTCAAACTGGGAAAGGACTATTGTCACCCTGCTTATTTAACTTCTATGCAGAGAACATCATGCGAAAATCCAGGCTGGTTGAAGCACAAGCTGGAATCAAGATTGCCAGGAGAAGTATCAATAACCTCAGATATGCAGATAACACCACCCTCATAGCAGAAAGCCAAGATTTCTCTTGATGAAAGTGAAACAGCCTCTTGATGAAAGTGAAAGAGGGGAGAGAAATAGCTGGCTTAAAACTCAACATTCAAAAAATGAAGATCACGGCATCTGCTCCCATCACTTCATGGTAAATAGATGGGGAAACAATGGAAAATGTGACAGACTTTATTTTCTTGGGCTCCAAAATTACTGCTGATGGTGACTGCAGCCATTAAATTCAAAGATGCTTGTTCCTTGGAAGAAAAGTTATGACTAACCTAGACAGCATATTAAAAAGCAGAAACACTACTTTGCCGACAAACGTCCATATAGTCAAAGCTATGATTTTTTTCAGTGGTCATGTATGGAAGACAGAGTTGGACCATAAAGAAAGCTGAGCACTGATGGTTTTGAACTGTGGTGTTGGAGAAGACTCTTGAGAGTCCCTTGGACTGCAAGGAGATCCAACCAGTCCATCCTAAAGGAGATCAGTCCTGGGTGTTCATTGGAAGGACTGATGTTGAAGGTGAAACTCCAATACTTTGGCCACCTGATGCGAAGAGCTGACTCATTTGAAAAGCCCCTGATGCTGGGAAAGATTGAAGGCAAGAGGAGAACGGGACGACAGAGGATGAGATAGCTGCATTGCAGCACCAACCTAATGGCCATGAGTTTGAGTAAACTCCGGGAGTTGGTGCTGGACAGGGAAGCCTGGCATGCTGCAGTCCATGAAGTTGCAAAGACTCAGACACGACTGAGCAGCTGAACTGAACTGATAAGGAAATGCTATTTCTGAAGGTGGTTTTTTAGCTTATGCCACCCTGTGGTCCCATTAATTGGAGAGAAAACAAAGACACACCACTGTGTTATAGAATCAGCATGAGGCATAGTCCCACATCCTTTTAGGCTTCTTTTTTCTGTTTGGCTTCACACTGTTTTCTTTTCTGAGATGCCAGAGAACTGAGGGTGATGCGATAGAAAATGAGTTCTCACCTGCAATCTAGGCTAACTTCCAGAAAGCCCAGCAACAGTGGTAGCATAACAAGAAAAATAAATGACACATCCACTTAGGGATGCGAACAAACAGGCAGATGGTCTTCATTATTGACTTGGCCTTGCTGGCCAGTTGAGTCAATAAGCGCTTTTCTTGTTTCTGGCAAATTGAGTTTTAAGAATCAAGACTTTCAGCCTATATCTAGTCTCTTTTGTCTCTTAACCAGCCTGCTTTCTGGTGCATACAGGCAAAAATGTCCCCTTGAGAGAAATGATTTTGAACAATGCACTATGGTCTAGAGATGTTGCCCTTGTCTTATCACAGCAAATTAAAAAAAAACAATGTGAAAGGCCATTGCCAGTGAATGAGTTATGCTTGGCACATGCTCATGTGTGTTCTTCAGCCTTCTGGAAAGCATTAAAATTTCCTTGAACTCCCCATAGAGCTCATCACTGACCTAACTTTATTAATTCTCATTTGAGCCTCGGAAAAGTTGAAAGATATCTGAGATTTCTGTAGCTGCGATAAGCAAGGTAGAGATAAAATGTTGGGTGGATACATCCTCCAGGAACTGGTTAGTTCATTAAATTCCTTTGTTTCAGATTCACATAAAGGAAGTGAACTTTCTTTGTGCCCAAGGGAGAATAGTCAGTATAAAAATTCAGTTTCAACTTCTACAGTGGACTTGAAAAGGTCAGACTGAATTTTAGACATTGGCCAATTGAAGGTAAGAGACTCATCCCAGATTTTTAGTTTTGTGAACGAAAAAGATAGTAGCTGTAGTCTCAAGAGGCACAGCATATGAAAAACAGGAAAGTTAAATAATTTTTAAAAGGAACTGCACCAAGATATTGAAACCCTAGATTAATATTAACTCTCCTAACAAAAATACTTGGTATTTTTAGTAAAACACATCCTAATAAAAATACTAAGGAGTTTTAAAAGGCCATAATCTCCCTTTGATATGAAATTGTAAATTGGCAGCTGAACAAATGAATGAATGAATACATACACACTTGGATGTGGTAATGCAATTTTGAGCTGCCAGAACAAAAACAGCATCTAGGGCAGAAGAAGTCCTGTATGCTCTCTGCTCTGGAAACATCTGAGGCTAAAATTGGGTGTTTAGCACTGGGCTCCATGTTTCAAATGAGCTTGTGTCGTAACAGAAACATGTGAAGGCACTGGGAACTTCCGGACTGGAGGGGATAGGACTTCAACCAGTGGTCCTGAGCAAGAGAGGGACTTGATTTCTTGTGTAAAGAACAGAAAGAAGAACTTTCTGTGGGTGCAAGTGGCATGCAAAAACCCATTTGGGCTCCAATAAATACAGCCTGTTCAAAAAATGGTGAATTTTGTTGGTTATTCATTTTAAACATAGCAGGACCTATTGTGTAGCACATGAAACTCTGCTCAACATTATGTGCCAGCTTGAATGGGAGGGGAGTTTATGGGAGAATGGATACATGTGTGTGTATGACTGAGTCCCTTCACCATTCACCTGAAACTACCACCACATCATCCATCGGCTAAACCCCAATACAAAATGCTTTTGGTGTTAATAAAAATTAAAAAGTAATAAATAAAAAAAAGGGAGTACAGCCCCTCTTCATCAAAAGAAAAAAAAATGGTGAATTTTCCATCACTGGAAGAATTTAGGCAGAGGCAAGTAGGAATGCTGTACAAGGCTGAAGATTTCACAAGGTGGGAACTCCTACAGAATCCTCAGAGCCCCATTTGGTTTCCTGCTTATTTGGACCTCTTCTGATAATCAAGGAAACTCAGTGGATGAATCTTACCTACTTTTGAAGAGTTACATACGCTGGCAGACACATCTGAAAATATCCCCTTCAGACCTCCAAAAGTTTCCACGAAGAAGTACTTGTCACTCGATCCTGCCATGGCCAGCAGCTCCACGGGGTTGGCGCCGGCGATGCCCACGGCCAGGACAAGGATGCCCTTGTCCCGCAAGGCCTTGGCTGTAGCATTGAGCTTATCGGCATCGTGGGATTCCCCATCGGTGATCACGATGAGGACCTGGGGGACCCCTTTGTGCAGACGGCTGCCCCGGCCTTCGGTGAACATGTGGTCTGAGAAGCCCAGAGCCTCAGCGGTATAAGTGTTGCCCCCCATGGGCTGATCATTCTGGATCACCGAGATCACCTCCCATTTGGTGTCAAGGCTATCCAGATAAAACAGCACCTCCGGGTCATCCGCGTACTTCAGAGCCCCAAACCGGACATGATTCTTGCCCACATCAGCTTTTTTCACCAAGTCGATCATAAAGTCCTTCATGATGTTGTATTCATCATGGTCAATGCTGCCAGAGCTGTCAATTACAAACACCACGTCTAAAACTTCAATGCGCTTGCATTCTGAAAGCGGAAGGAAAAGGAAAACTGATGAGATTAGCTTTGCACGTCATGGAGGACTCACATCACCCACCCTGCCCACCCCACATTTTAAATGCCAGGGTCTCCCCTCCATAGGATCAAGCTGTACATCTGAATGTCCATTCTCTGAGTAACAGACACAATGCACATGCTCAGTTGTGTGTCTTTTAGACTTGATCTTAGCCAAAAGGCCGAGAAGTGATTTGCATGTCTTTTAGGACAAGGCAGATGTGCCATGAAGCCTGCTACAGTGGGTGGGAAGGGGGCGGAGTGACAGTCACAGGACATCAGAGATAAACACGACAAATATTTTTGGACCAAAAAAACTCAATTCACAATTCTGAGGAAATTTTCCTGTATAAGTGGTACCTTCAACATGTGCTTTCATTCATACAAATTTGTCTTTTTTTTTTTTAAGCCACAGTGATCATGAGGTTTTATTCTTAAGATAAACCTTGGGGAAATGACCAGATGAAAATAAATTTGGCAACACTATAATTTCTTCATAGCTAACTTTTCAAGGTTACGTTTTCTCCTTTTATTGACTTTCTTAAAACATAATCTGTATTCATGTTTGGGCTTTGTTGTAGAAATTATCCCATTTCACACTTGGCCTAAGCAAGTGATCCCAGCATGACCTCCCATTCACTTTGTAAATGTGGGGTCAATGCAATGGAGAAGGAAAGTAATCCATGCGTGTATCACATTCTGTTCTCAAGGTGCAGCGTTCCAAACTCCAACTCATTCATTCTAGAGAAGTGGAACTGTAGGATGGCGAATGATTTAGTCCTTATGTAGCACCATCTGTCTACAGGCCTTCAGAAGGTATGTTTCAACAATTAACTCATCCATTCTGGAGAAACGGAATTGTGAAAAGCCTTCCTCAAGGCTCATCACATTCCCTTCTTTGGAAGCCACTTCCTTACAACAATGGTAGGGCTGTTGCAAACCCTAAATCCAACACACTTACCCACCTAACTAGAGGCCACATGTACAGAGCCATGACCATGTCACCCAGAAAATCTGGTTCCACACAAATAGAAACGATGTCCCCTGGGCCTTCAGCTGCCCAGGGCAGCCTGCTTGGATTACCCGGGAGGCTGCAGGGGGGACTGCTCAGTTAAAGCACCCTTCAGAGAAGTCATATTTGTTCTGGTTGGAGTTACCAGGATGCACAATCCAGGGCTACACCTCTAACCACAACGTATAGATCGCAGTCACCAATACTTCTAGTGCGGCTTGGCCAGAACTGTTATTTGAACAATAAGATGATGTCCCTTTTTTCCTTCAAAATTCCGTTAAGATTAATCCCCTTCGTAGAAGTTTTTCAGAATGCCTGTGTTGTCAAGCCCCACGGGCCCCTTATTTCTGCTGAACCTTTATTACTTTCATTCTGCAGTACCCCGGGAACACAATGATGATTACCCATTTATTTCCTTTGAAGCATCCATTGCTCAAGTTCCTATATCATATTCCTCCCTTATAAGATTTAATAAATATCAATATGTTTTCACAAAGATTATCTCATTTCATATAAGTATTTTAAAAGTTTAAAAAAACTGTAAAATGAGCAAACTTAAATAGTAGATGTTAGGTCAAAGGGGGAGCCAACCTTGTCCAGGGGTTACATCCCTCTACTACCTGTCTTCAGCAGACCACATGTCGCCCCTAAACTCAGATTATATAAGGCCGGGACCCTGCCTCCAGGTGGAACCGACTCTGTGCTGTAATTCATGCTCCCTGCTCCCTGCTGGATCAGGCTGAAGCCAGACTCTGGCTGAGAAAACCTCCTCGCTTAACTCCTACCGATGCCCTGCCCTGCTTTCCTACTTCTCTTCTGAAGACATTTCAATAAATCAAAAAGTCTACAAGTCATAAGTGCTGGAGAGGGTGCAGAGAAAAGGGAACCCTCCTACGTGGTTGGTGGGAATGTAAATTGGAGCAGACACTATGGATAACAGCACGGAGGTTCCTTAAAATAAAAAAATAAAAAAAATAGAACTGCCATATGATCCAGCAATTTCACTCCTGGGCATCAATCCAGAGAAAACGATATAATTCAAAAAGATACATGCACCTCCATGTTCATAGCAGCACTTATAATAGCCAAGACATGAAATAAACTAAGTGTTATCAACAGGTGAATGGATAAAGATATGGTATATATACATACATATATATATATATATATATATATACTATACATAAAATAGACAACCAATAAAGATCTGCTATATAGCACAGGGAACTATACTCAATATTTTATAATAACCTATAAGGGAAAAGAATATGAAAAAGAACATATACACACACACACACATTTGTATGTATGTATAACTGAATCCTGAATCACTTTGCTGAACACCTGAAACTAACAGGACTTTGTAAATCAACTATACTTCAATAATTTTTTTAAAGTAATAAGTAAATAAATTGCTTCCATAAGAACGTCTCACTCAGACTCTGCTTCCAGGGAACCAGACCTAAAATCCTGCATGGTACTATTTTCCTTAAATGGAGGATTCATCTCACTAGTACTTCATCTACAAACGGGAAAGAACCTAGGCAGTTCTGAATTGTTCCTTACTGTCTGATTTTAACAGTTCTGTTGAGGAAACTTGCATTTCTATATGTGAGCCAAAAACCACTAGGATAAACAGTTCAATTGAACAAAACCAGTTTATAGTGTTCATAGCAGTCTGCTTAGTTCAGGAAGCAAGGACCTACATTGATGTGTGGTGTTTGGATGATCCCTCTGATGAACATGCCCATGCTTACCTTCACGGGGGCTGCATATTCCAAAAACAAGGTCATCCTCAATGTGCTGCAGAATGTCAAAATTCTCAACATAAAAAACCATCTCCGGCCTCCCGCTGATCTCCTCCAGCTGGGTGACGTTGGAGCCAAACACGCCTACAGAGTAGATAATGATGCCTTCTCCCCGAAGGGCCACCGCTGGGTCCTTGACTATGTCCTGAGCCTCCCCATCTGTGATGAGGATGAGGAATTTCCTGACATTGGGCCGGGCTCCCTTGGCAGGGCTGAAGTACTGAGACACGAAGGTCAGGGCGCTCCCCGTCAAGGTGGTTTCTCCAATGTGAGCCATTCGGTCTATTGCATCTGAAATTTCCCCCTGGGATGTGTATCTGTTGAGCTGAAACTCCTCCTTATTGATGTTACTGAACTGGACCACACCGATTTGCACTCCATCTGCCCTGATCTGAGATTTGCTCACCAGGTTTTTCATAAATGTTTTCATTTTGATGAAGTTCTCTAGTCCTATACTGCCAGAACTGTCCACCAAAAACATGATGTCGGCCTTCATCTCTTTGCAGGCTGCATGGGAGAAAGGAGATGGACTATTCAAGGTGGTTTCATGTGAAAAGAGGAAGAGTGAACAGGAAAATCTAAAACACAAACAATTCTATACGAAGTTAAGTGTGTGTTGCTAGGTGTAGTTAGCAGATAAATAAAGCATTGAAGATGATGAAGGGGAGCCTATTCTCTTTATTATTTATTGATTTGCTTTAACATATAACTCAGGCCTTCTCAACCTCAGCACGGCTGACATTGTGGTTGGAAAGTTTGTACTGTGGAAGGAAATCCACACACTGTAGGATGCTGAAGAATGGTTAGCAGGATCCCTGTACTCTATTAGATGCCATTAGCACCCCCCAAGGCTATGGTTTTTCCAGTGGTCATGTATGGATGTGAGAGTTGGACTGCGAAGAAAGCTGAGCACTGAAGAATTGATGCTTTTGAACTGTGGTGCTGGAGAAGACTCTTGAGAGTCCCTTGGACTGCAAGGAGATCCAACCAGTCCATCCTAAAGGAGATCAGTCCTGGGTATTTATTGGAAGGACTGATGCTGAAGCTGAAACTCCAATACTTTGGCCACCTGATGCGAAGAGTTGACTCATTGGAAAAGACCCTGATGCTGGGAGGGACTGGGGCAGGAGGAGAAGGGGACGACAGAGGATGAGATGGTTGGATGGTATCACCAACTCAATGGACATGAGTTTGAGTAAACTCTGGGAGTTGATGGACAGGGAGGCCTGGCGTGCTGTGATTCATAGGGTCACAAAGAGTCAGACACAACTGAACGACTGAACTGAACTGAGCATCCCCCAATGATGACCACCACAAGTAAATGTCTCTAGACTGAGCATCCCCCAGTGATGACCACCACAAGTAAATGTCTCTAGACATTTCTAACCATCCCCTAAGGGACAAAATCACCCCTGGTTGAAAACTACTGATCTAACTCTGGAAGATTTCATACAAGTTTCATTAAAAAGTGCTTTAAATAAATCCAAAATAATCCTTAAAATCAGAAATCATTTGATCGTATTACACATGCAGTGGTCTAATCATAGATCTATCCTCACAGGAATTTGTGGCGAGACACTAATCAATACTTATCAGAAGCCAATTAACTAGCACTCCCCCCCGTTATGACCAGCAACAGTGTCTTTAGACACTGCAATATCTTTAGACATTGCTAACTATACCCTGGTGGGGGAAAGTCACCCCTGGTTGAAAATTACTTACCTAGGTTTAGAAGATTTCATATAAGCTTCATTAAAAAGCAACTTAAATAAACATAAAATACTCTTTTTACACATCAGGTAATAGTTAGAGCAATACTATAATAGGTCCTCCGTTTTCTTCTGGAGAAGAAACAGCTCCACAAAGTCAAGAAACTTCAGCTGGGATATTTACGCCCTTTCTCCACACCTGCAATGTCAAATACTGAAGGGTGCAGAAGCCAACTATATAGAATGGAGAAACAGCAAGGTCCTACTGCATAGCGCAGGGAGCGATACCATAAATGGAGAAAAATATGAAAAAGAATGTCTATGTATGTGTAATTGTACAGCAGAAGTTGACAGAAGACTGCAAATCGACTATATTTCAACAAGCAATTTAAGAAAATACTGCAGGGAGGCAGTTTGGGAGCTGAAGTCCAAAGGTAAGGAGTCCTACCTTCTTCAGCACAGATTTCTTGAACAACCTGGTTTCTTATGTCTTTCAAGGCATCAAAGTCATGCACGTAGTAGACACGCTTCTCCTCGCCGGCGATTTCGCGCAGCTGAGTCTGGTTGGCCTCTCTGACCCCGATGGCGTAGACGTGGACGAGCTCGTCTCTCAGCCTGCTGGCGGGCCCCAAGACGCTGTCCCGGGACGCGCCGCTGGTCAGCACAACGAGGTGGCAGGGCACTCTGCCTCCCCGCTGCCGCTTTGCCTTCTGCAGCAGCCCCAGGGTGAAGTTCAGGGCGGCGCCCGTGTTCCTGTTCCCGCCCATCTGCCTGATGTTCTCGATGGCCTTCCCGACATCGTGCTTGTTCGTGTACTTACTGATCTCAAATTCCAAGTCCCAGCGGCCGGCGTACTGGACAGCCCCAACCCGCACCTTCTGGGGAGCGATGTTGAACATCCCCGCCACCTCTGACAGGAAGGTCTTCATCTCCTGGAAGTCCGTGGCCTGCGTGCTCCCAGAGCCGTCGATGAGCAGGTAGATGTCTGCTTCCTCCGTGTCCACACAACCTAAAACGCAACCTGAAACTGAACACAGCATCTGGGCAAGTGGGGCCGAGACCCGGGGGCAGGAGAGAGGAAGGGCCAACGCCGGCCTCACCAGACAGAAAACAGGGAAACAGCTTCTTGGTGGGAAAGACCTGTTCTGCTGCCGAGACTCCGGGGAGCCTTAGCATGGGGTGGGTCAGCTGTGTGACAGTTTAAGACGATTTGCATCCAGAATCGGAGTCCATTTGGATGTAGGAAAAGATCAGAAAGAAAACTTGAAGACACTGTCTACAAGTCGCTTCTCTTACCAGAGAGTGACTGCTTAGCAAAAGGTCAGGTGGTGTTCTGTTAACTAAAGAAGGCATTTTACTGGACTTGGTGGACATAGGAGTTATTTACTCCTCATCCACGGCTGCTCAATTAACACAACAGGGGTATTGTCAGGGGCCTCTTTTACACTAGGCAATGACACTTTTGGGATCAACATACTATAAATATACGTTGAAGGATGCAGACATATGTAAATCTTGTGTATGCACACATCATTTATGTAGCATACATGCCTATGTATGAAATATATACTCTCTGTCTCCCTCTTAACTCACTGATACTAGAATAGTACTTCCCAGTAAATTCATTACCCTGTCCAATCCAGATCATGCTTCCTGTGTATTCTCTAAGTTGGAATTTGAGGCTAGGGAAGGAGAGAAGGGAGAGAAAATTCCACACACAAAAAGAGACTAAGGAAAGAGCAGAGAAACACAAGAGGCAAAAGCAAGAAAGGAAGCAGGGCAGGGGGAGAAATAGCTAAGGAAGGTGTTCCGGGGTGTCAAGAAATAATGAAGAATATAAGTGAAGCTGCACAAAAGAGGAAATTAAAAAAAAAATCTCTTCTTCCCATTCCAACACCTCAATAGCTTTTATTCTCCCCCAATTTACATTTCCTATTATTGGTTAAATTAAATAATTAAATTATTGGGTTAAAACAAGTCGCTTCTCTTACCAGAGAGTGACTGCTTAGCAAAAGGTCAGGTGGTGTTCTGTTAACTAAAGAAGGCATTTTACTGGACTTGGTGGACATAGGAGTTATTTACTCCTCATCCACGGCTGCTCAATTAACAAAACAGGGGTATGGTCAGGGGCCTCTTTTACACTGAGCAATGACACTTTTGGGATCAACATACTATAAATATACATTGAAGGATGCAGACATATGTAAATCTTGTGTATGCACACATCATTTATGTAGCATACATGCCTATGTATGAAATATACAAGTACCTTGCTCTCTGTCTCCCTCTAAACTCACTGATACTAGAATAGTACTTCCCAGTAAATTCATTACCCTGTCCAGTCCAGATGATGCTTCCTGTGTATTCTCTAAGTTGGAATTTGAGGCTAGGGAAGGAGAGAAGGGAGAGAAAATTCCACACACAAAAAGAAACTAAGGAAAGAGCAGAGAAACACAAGAGGCAAAGGCAAGAAAGGAAGCAGGGCAGGGGGAGAAATAGCTAAGGAAGGTGTTCCGGGGTGTCAAGAAATAATGAAGAATATAAGTAAAGCTGCACAAAAGAGGAAATTAAAAAAAAAAATCCCTTCTTCCCATTCCAACACCTCAATAGCTTTTATTCTCCCCCAATTTACATTTCCTATTATTGGTTAAATTAAATAATTAAATTATTGGGTTAAATTAAAAAGCCAGGGATTCAACCCTCTCTCCCTGCGTCACACCCACCAAGCCCTTGGGCAGACAGAACACCTGCAAGACAAGAAAAAGAGCAATAGGATGAGACTACTCCTGCAAGAGGCTTTACCGGCTTTGAGGGTCTCGGTCCGTTCGGAAATGACAGAGACCGTGTGTGTGATCTGATTCCGCAGCTTCTTCAGAAACGTCTGGTTGTGGGCAGCCAGGTCAGAGAAGGACTTCAGCTGGGACACGTACTGCTCGGCGGGGTGAGACGCAATCTTCTCCAGCTGGGTGTCGCTGGCCCCCTCTACGCCAACGGTGAAGACGGTCACCCCCTGGCGCCGGAGGTTCACAGCGGCCTTGGTCACGTTGTCCTGGGATGGGCTGTGGGTCACGAGCACGGCGATCTGCGGCACCCCCTGGTTCTTCCGACTGCCGTGCTGCACGCTGAAGACTTCCTTCCTGATCTTTCTCAGGGCGGCTCCAGTGTAGGCCTTCCCGGCCTGGGGAGCAAGGCTCTGGATGTCCTGCAGAACCTCCGATTTGTTTACACCCCTGCTCAGGGTGCTAATCACCTTCGTCTCATTGGCATAGGCCACAAGGCCAACCCTCATGCAGTTTTCCTTGATGTCCAGAGCAGATATGCTTTCTTCCAGGAATTCTTTAAGATAGTCAAAGTCCTCCCAGCTGCTGTTGGCGGACATATCCAACAGGAACACAACGTCAGCCACGGAAGGGCCTTGGCAAACTGCAGGCAAGGAATGAACAGGCAGAGTTTTAATTCAGCATCTCTGTTCGGCATTAAAGACACGTGGAATTATGAGCAATTATAAATAGGATGCACATAGAATAACCAAGCAATTAGAGCTCGGTTATGCACTTAAAGAAGGAAGGAGGTATCCAAACTGATGATGAAGCTGAGATCAAGGGGTCCTGAGCACAAGAACTGGATCTTAGCTCACCTCCCGGCTTCAGTTTCTACATCTGTAACATACAGGTAACAAGAATATTGATCTCATAGAGTTGCACGGATTAAATGAGATCATGTCAAATTTAGCATGGGGACTGGCACATAAAAAGTCACTCAGTTAACAGAAGCTGCTATTGTGTTCAAATCCACTACTAAAACCAGCAGTTATAGTCCAAACATTCTTAAAGGATGGAAAAGTAATAGCAGTTGATGTTCTAATATTTTATCTGGGGAAAATACTAGTAATAAGATTCCATATTTTCTTAGATTACTACAAGAAAACATTCTCTATTGTCAATATACGTCACTTCACTCTGACAACCAGACATAATGTGAGTTTATTATGTCACTTGTCTGGACTTGTACAGTTAGAGCAAAGTTTTGCTTTTTTGTTTTTACCAGCTCTCCCCTGTCCCTATCTTGAGTGATGTTCATAAATGCTTGGCCATCCTTGCTAATAGAACAGTACAAGGGGACGGACCAAGAGAGCAGGTTGGGTTGGAGCAGGGCACGGGAACGCTGATTTAGAACACAGCTGCAGGAAGGAGCGAGTGTGGGGCTGAACCCACCCAGGTGTGGCTCTGACTCCAGACCACAGCCGGGCCCAGGGCCAGGCCATATCGCCTCCAAGAGCGCCTGCAGCTTCCTCTCTGTGGAACAGAGGTTTTGGACTCCCTGAAGTTGTTTCAAGTTGTAACCGTCTGTGATGATTTTACATGGCTTCAGGAATTAAGGATTTCTTTAGGAGCAAGTTGTCCTCTTAAATGAACCAGAAGTGAAGCTACATAGCAGCTGAAGCCCAGGGAGAAAGCTCAGACAGCTGGGTGGCAGGGAGGAGGCAGCCTATAAACAGTAGGCAGTGAGATAAGTGAAACATGGAAAACCAAGGCTTCCCAAGTTTACTGGATTAAAAAGGCCACAATCGTGGGGCATGCAGAAATTAACACCTGAAAATGCAGCTCAGCTTTTGGGGAAAGAGATGCTCGCAGAGTCTGCACCCTTTCCTCGTGTTGATTTTCTGAAAGTATTTTATCATCATTGTCCCTACACAGGCGCCCTGACCCACCTTCCACAAGGACGTCATTGACTGCCCCATCCTTGTATTGAGCTGCATCCTTGAGAATCTGCGTCATGTTTTGGGAGAACGTGCTGAGGTCCCTGACCGTCCGGAGGCTGTAGTGGAACTGGCCCGTGGCCATGGCCTTCAGGGTCTTCTCAGACGCCCCCTGCATCCCCACGGAGACGATCCTCACCCCATTTTTGCGCAGCGCTTCGGCGGCCTCTTCCACAGCATCTTCGGACTCAGCGGAAGCCAGGACCACCAGGATCGGGGGAAACTGTTTCTTGTCCCTCCCGCTGGAGAAGTAGGCCCTGTGGACCTCCTGGAGAGCGTTCCCAATCTGCAGGGAGCCCCCCAGGAACCCGAAGTTCTTCTTGAGGTGGTTCAACATGGGGCCCCTGCTCTTGAAGGTGCTGAGCTGGAACTCTTCATGGAGCCTGTCGCTGTACTGGGCCAGGCCCACGTGGTACTTGTCAGCCTCTATGGGGAGGCTACTGATCATCTTGTTGATGAAGGCCTTCACAAACGGGAAGGACTTAATTCCCAGGCGGTCGGAGCTGTCCACCAGAAACACCACATCAGCATACTCCGGACCTACAAACCCACAAACACAATGAAAGCAAACTTCAAACATTTACTGCCAAGTTTAATGCCAACCATATGGGAAAAACTTACTTCCCTCTTTTACTTGCATTTGTAATATCTTTCCAATGCACTGAAAATAATACGTATTCTCTCAAGAGAAGTATTTGTTTCTTAGGCTAATTCTTTTATAAGCCTTCTCATTTGAACTGATCATGAAATTAAGCAACACTTTTGCAAGGAATTAAGTAGAAATAGCTACATATAAAGAAGTAAAATATCATGGGTTTTTATATGTTTAGTGGATAATTTCCCTTGTGTCTTTTTCTTCTTTCAGAATTTGACCTCAGTTTATAGCAACAAGATAAACAGTTTCATTGAGAGTGAATTAAATTTGCTGAATGGAGAAAACTGAAAAAAATAGCCTTTCATTTTGACTTATTTTTAAACAATACAAGTGACCTAATTAACTTATAAACATATTGGTTTTGTATTCAAAGTGTCAAACTGATGAGTTTTAAAAAATCCTAAAAATCATAAATATGAGATGTATTAATCTTTCTTAAGGTTATTTATGATATTTTTTGATGAGTCGAGTGGGCATTGTAATTGGTAAATTTATTCTCACATATGAAAAATGTGACAGAAACCAGTATACCTTAAGCTAGGAAAGAGATTATAGTTAAGTTTCTATTGATAATGTAATTTTTACATAGGAATGAATATTTTGCTGAGCTTTTAAGGCTTCATTCAATGCCAGATTGAATGTTAGGTATGTGAAACTATATTTGTATGTAATAGAGAAGCATTTGGTTCAAGCACAAAATATAATTTGTTGGTGGTTTGTCTGCTAGCTTGAATTCAGAGTTCTCATGGCTGTAATATAAGATCCATTTCTTGTCCAGGGAAGGGAGGGACATACTTGTGTGTGTCTGGATGTTTTATGTTTAAGAAAACATAGTGAAACTGAACAAGCAACCTGAGTCCTGACTTTGTTATCAGCTAATTCTCCCAGCTCTAACAAGCCATTGGACATACTTGGGCCTCAATTTCCTCATAATTAAAATGGGTAGATTCAACTAGAAAATATCTAAGGTCTCTCTTTACTCTGATATTCTGATTATCTGAAATAGTTACTATATAAATTCTGATCAAATGAAAGGAACTTCAATTTTTTCCTGTCGACAACTGCTAGGAAAACAGCCTTGGTACCCCTGCATGTTACTTCATTCTCTTTAGAGAAGTCCAATCAAGGCATAATGGATAACAATCATCCTTTCTTTTCTTCTAAGCAACCTGATTTCAGCTAGTTTGAGATTCCTTTGATGATCATACATCCAGCAGCATCTCCGGGAAAACACTAAGTGAGGGGGAGCCAACGCGAGAAGGCTGGGACCCCTCCGAGGACGGTCAGGTGAGGACTGCCTAGGGTGGCTCAACTTTCTATTCATAGACAAACGCCCACATCTGTGTGGAGGAAAGAAATGTAGCCACTGGCACAGGAGACATATTTAGGTTTTAACCAGGCCCATCACTCTATCTGAACCATGGAACTGGAGAAAAAGCATCGCCTCTTTGAAGAGCTTAATATCAGGCCCAGTGAGACATCAAAGGAATATGTTTTCAGGGCAGAGAATTTACCTCTCCAGAAAACTTGCTTCCAAGGTCAGAGTCCTTGGGGAAAAACAAAACAAAACAAAACTGTAAAACTAATCTAGGTGGCCCTGGACATGAAGTGACTGATTTTTTAGGAGGTGGTAAGGGCCGTGAAGGCTTGACCAGTATTTTGACTTCAAGTCCATTGGACATAGACTGCTGACAGACAGTGGACAGCTCTGAAGTTCCCTCTTCAGGGTAAAAGCACCTGCTTTACAATCAGCAGACACACAGTTTAAACTGGAGCCAAATCTGGATGTTTGACCAAGACAAATATTTTGGAACAAACAAAGTAGGAAGAGACATTTCAAATTTTCCTTAGCCTGAACTTAATGTGAAAAGAGAAGGTTGCACATGAAAATGCAACCTCCCAGAAGACCTAGGAGAAGCTGAAACTGAGGACAAGAAAACAGCTGTCATATCTTTCTATCGTGAAGAGGGAATAAACCCCAGAAACAAATGATTTTCAAAGGAACATGGGGTGACATCAAAGAAATTGAGCTACCACTCCCCCCACCCTCACCATCATCACAGTCAAAACAAAACAAAACTCTTATATTTTAAGCAAGTCAGACTCATATATTATCTATTTTCCATAATGAGAATTAAGGAAATTAATTCCTTTCATTATTTTCCTTACCAGAATGTTGGTTGACAGAAACATGGGAACAAATTATTATAAGGAACAAAATGAGCAGCATTTTCATATTTTAACCTGAAAAATCGCCAACTGGAAATCTGAAAAGGCAAAAACATAAACATCTAAAATTGTTGTGGATATTACTTAGAAATCAAGACTCACACACATATGAGCACACAAAATTACATGATAAATTCGCTATAACAGAAGACAAGGAATTTCTGAGGTTCCCTGACTATTTGATCTGTGCTTTGTGGAAAAATGAACCGCCAACATTTACAACATTTACAGAATCATAAAAAAGTTTCTTCTGGTCCCCAGACCCTGTAGAAACATGAGATTTTGGATAGCCAGTGGAAGTAGCCAGATGCATTCTAGTTCCACCAATATTATGTGTTCCTAGTAATTATTTTCCCCAGTCTTATCCTCTGTCCACTCATTACACAGACAATTTAGAGTTCACAGTTGGGACACAGTCTAAGGCCTGACTTGTAATTTTTCCATCATGAACATGTAGGTATGTTTCATATTTGAGAAGTATTTATAGATGTGGTCAAAATTTTCTTTACTCCTTTTCTTACATAATTAGCAAGTAACCATTTCCCTTTATTCTTAGATTTGAGAGAAGACATAAAGAAATAAGTAGTGATCCTCCCTATCCCATATGATGTCTTGCTCCTCAGAATGACACAATTTGTACCAGTTTGCTTCCAACTACTTATAACCATATGAATCAAGGGCTTTCTGATTCTAATTTGGCCTAAAACATTTTCAGCCACCTTGAATTTTCATTTCACTGGATAAAATAGGATATTGAAGATATTGACAATAAATCTGATAATTAAGCAGGTTGGGCTCATCCATCCACTCATTCACCCACTGAATGAAAAATGAATTGGTCCATGATAATAAACTAGCACTTCTCTTTTCTGCTTAATTCTTACCCAAACATGTGTTTGATACATGTGGCTATGGCTATCTCATTCCTTTGTCAGGCAGTCTCCTATTGTGTAATATTTTACCCTTTCAGAAAATGGACCTTTGCCACAAAAAATTCCATCACCATTTCCTCACCTACTCCATCGTCCCTCTGACATTCTGGAATTTGGGATTCTGTTCTTTCCTTCATAGGAACTTTGGATGATATAAACTTTTCAGGCTGAGTCAGTTTAAACTGTTTAAAGTCAGATAAACTGAATTTTGAGTCAGTTTATCTGTTCTGTTTCAGAGGAAATCAGGAAGCTGGAAGGAGCCCTTAAGAGGTTATATTCAGACCATCTTTTCATTAAGAGAAAGTTTAGCCCAAACGTGGATTGCCCAAAGTGAAAATTAAGTCATACTCTGTATAGATTCTCTGGTCGGCCTTGACCATGTGCCATGCCCTGTCTCATCAGCTTTACACGTGTTCTCCTGTTTGATATTGATGGCAAACCTATAAGCAGGTCATCTTATTGTCCCTATTTTGCAGGTAAGGAAGCAGTTTCATAAAGGGGAATGTGATTCAAGATGACATGGATAAAACGGGCCCTAGTTAAGACTAAAACCCAAATCACTCTGATTTGAAATCTGGACTGCAGCACTCAGTTCCTCTGCATCCCAAACTAATACTGTTTTTCTAAAATTTATCTTATTGAAGAATAGCTGATTTACAATATTGTGTCAATTTCTGATACACAGCAAAATGATTCCGTTATATATAAATATATTCTTATCCTTTTTCCATTATGGTTTATTGAACCATAATGCTTTACAGTAGGGCCTTGTTGTTTATTCATTCTATATACAATACCAAAAAATATCATTAACACAGAAAGTGTCTCCAAGTTTTTGATTCTATGTCTATTTTTTCCTAAGTATTAAGGGATAGATCCTGGTATTTGTTTTCATGCCTTTTTATTTTTGCTTTTCAAACCACAGCTTTATGTTGTTCACTTCTCATCTGTTTACATTATGAAATTTATAAACGAGTGCTATCTTTAGGAGTTCTGAGAGATAAGAGAAGAAGCTTTAGGTTGCTCAAGAGGATAAATAACCAAGATGGAAGAAAATAGTACTGAATGCAAGTTAAGACCTGGATAGAAAAACGAAGGTCAGTTAGGAAGGACACAAATAGCATGCAGCATCTGGACATTTCCCCACGCAGGTGGTCAGTACTGCCATCGTCCAGTCACTAAGTCGTGTTCTGACTCTGCGGGCCCATGGACTACAGCACACCAGGCTTCCCTGTCCTTCACTGTCTCCCAGAGTTTGCTCAAACTCATGTCCATTGACTCAGTGATGCCATCCAACCATCTCATCCTCTGTCACCCCCTTCTCCTCTTGCCTTCAATCTTTCCCAGCATCAGACTCTTTTCCAATGAATCAACTCTTCACATCAAGTGGCCAAAATATTGGAACTGCAGCTTTAGCAGCAGTCTTACCAAATGAATATTCGGGGTAGATTACCTTTAGGATTGATTGGTTTGATTCAACCAACCCGGGATTTCACCTGATGTACTCTGCATGTAAGTTAAATAAACAGGATTACAATAAACAGCCTTGATGTACTCCTTTCCCAATTTGGAACCAGTCCATTCATTGCTCTGTGTCTGGTTCTAGCTGTTGCTTCTTGGCCTGCATACAGGTTTCTCAGAAGACTGATAGTCCCATCTCTTTAAGAATTTTCCACAGTTTGTTGCGATCTACACAGTCAAAGACTTAAGCGTAGTCAGTGAAGCAGAAGTTTTTCCTGGAACTCCAGTGCTTTCCCTACAACATTGACAGATGTTGGCAATTTGATCTCTGTTTCCTCTGCCTTTTTGAAATTCAGGTTATACATCTGGAAGTTCTCGGTTCTTGTACTGTTGAAACCCAGCTTGAAGGATTTTGAGCATTACCTTGCTAGCATATGAAGTGAGCGCAACTGAATGGTAGTTTAAACATTCTTTGGCATTGCCTTTCTTTGGGATTGGAATGAAAACTGACCTTTTCCAGTCTTGTGGCCACTGCTGAGTTTTCCAAATNATTCCTGAATGGTCTGATGGTTTTCCCTACTTTCTTCAATTTAAGTCTGAGTTTTATGATAAGGAGTTCATGATCTGAGCCACAGTCTGCTCCTGGTCTAATTTTGCTGACTCTATAGAGCTTCTCCATCTTCAGCTGCAAAGAATATGATCAATCTGATTTTGGTATTGACCATCTGGTGATGTCCATGTGTAGATTGTCCTTATATTGTTGGAAGAGGGTGTTTGCCATGACCAGTACATTCTCTTGGCAAAACTCTGTTAGCCTTTGCCCTGCTTCATTTTGTACTCCAAGGCCTAACTTGCTTATTATTCTAGGTATCTTTTGACTTCCTATTTTTGCATTATAATCCCCCGCTATGAAAAGGACATCTCTCTTTTTTTGGTGTTAGTTCTAGAAGGTAGCTCTTCCTAGAACCATTCAACTTCAGCTTCTCCCACATTAGTGGTAAGGCATAGACTTGGATTACTGTGATGCTGAGTGGTTTGCCTTGGAAATTAATTGAGATCATTCTGCTGTTTTTGAGACTGCACCGAAGTACTGCATTTCAGTCTTTTTGTTGACTATGAGGGCTACTCCATGTCTTCTAAGGGACAGTTGCCCACAGTAGTCGATATGATGGCCATATGAATTAAATTCACCCATTCCTGTCCACTTTAGCTCACCGACTCCTAAGATGTCAATGTTCAATCTTACCATCTCCTGAAAAGTTGAGTTCTTTCAGATAGCATCTTGTTAAACAATTTTTTGAAACTTTGAATGGAATGCAAAACCTAGTGTATTGTAAGGCTATATATACAATGTGGAAACCAGTGGAAGGGGCTCTTGGGGTTTTATGTACACCTGCTCTGTGAGTGAGAAAGCATACAAGGGTCCAGTACGGACAGCAGGAAGATGAAATCTCTGTCAATGCAGGGTAAGCCTGGGTCCATTTTTACCACGTGGTGGATTGCCTATAATCGGTATGTTGTTCTTTTACCAGACATGATCAGGATTTACATTCTTAAATGTTTAAAATACGTAATTATTTAAAACCAAAGTTGTAAATACTCAAAGAAATGAGGGGAGAACAAAGGAGATGGTATTTAGAGTAATAACATAACATAAAACTTAAATTCGTGGTGCACCCAATGTTAATATAGCAGTAGTCTGATCACTTCTTATTTTAGAAACAGTCTCAAAAGTACAAATCTCTTTAATCAGAATTTTTAGTACTCCATTCATTCTGATTTGGGCAAACTGGGCTAATATACCTTTTCCAAAATCATACATTTTAAGAAAAACCTTAAAAAATTTGGATCTCAAAACCTTGAGCATAATACCCTCAAGGTCCATCCATGTGGTTGCAGATGGCAAGGTTCCACTGTTTTTTATGGCTGAGTAACATTTTGTTGTATATATGCATCTTGTTTTTCCATTATTCTATGTTTAGATTAAGATGGAGAAAACCAAATACTGTCTGATTTCACTTTTATGTGGAATCTAAACCATAAATGAACAAAACAAAATGGAAACAGACTCATAGTACAGAGAGCAAATTCGTTATTGCTAGAGGAATGCTGGAATTGGGGAACAGATGAAATAGATGAAGGAGAGTAAGAGATACAAACTTCTAGCAATAAAATAAATGTCACAAGGGTGTAATGTATACAGAATAGTCAATAACATTATAACTACTTTGTCTGGTGACAGATGGTAACTGGTCTTGCAGTGATGACCATTCATAATGTATAAAAGTTAAAAAATCACTATGCCTTAAAACAACATAATGTATATGAATAATAGCTCATTTTATAAAAATAGAGTGAAAAAATCTGGATATCTGTAAACTTTCTTTTGAGAAGGTAGAATGTTTCTAATTTAAACTACAGCTGCAAAAGCAATACAGTTACCCTGTCTTTGGCTCCACACCCAGAATATTTAGAACTTGTGCAACACTTCTCCTGAGGCTATTAAGAACCAGGGGCTTCAGGGAGATCTCTGCCCCTATGAGCCAATTCATAATCTAATAGGATATGTCTTTGAAAAAATATTAAAAGTCAGTAAGGGATATAAAAA